ACATCAATAATTCCAGTTGTAGTTGGAGCCTTCAGATTGATTGGAAAAGGTTCTGATAGACTCATTGAATAAATTCCTGGTGGGAGCCCATGTCTTAACGAAATGCAAAAAAAAAAAAAAAAAATGTAGTCACAAGTACAGCTCACACATAATGAAGAACATTATCTATGTAAAATGTGTGTGACCTTTGGGGTTTTTCTTTGGGTTTTATTTTTACAAAAAATGATCATTGGAAGATGTCATGAAGCCATTTCTGACTTTAGATCTGTTTTGGACCCAGAAGGAAATGTATACACAACAGAAACTCAAGATGATGATGATGATGATTATAATAATAATAATAATAATACCAAATTAACAAGAGATATCCAATTTTGTTGTGGATGGTGTAAAATGAAAAATCAGAAACTCAATTTCACATTCCAGTTAATTTTCATCACATCCACTTTTGTGCACATACATTTGGAAAAGATAAGAATCCCCCCAACGCTATAGGTTAAATTGTAGGAAAAACTGGGTTCTTCAGCTTTAGGTGTAAACCAGTCAGAGAAATATAACTCTGAATCTAGTATGTAGCCCTGGCAAGGCACATTATTTTGCCCGCTAAAGAAGCAGGGACTACAATGATTCTATGATGCTGACTGTGACTGGCCTTGATTGATCATTAATTTAGTAAATTAAAAAATTGTATATTTCTAGTGAAAAAATAGGAAAAGGAACAGTAATTATAATTTTACAGCATAGTTTGTAAACTTTTTAAAATATAAAAATAAGGGCCAAATCAGATTATTTTTGTTTAAATTTCTTTCTTCCAGACAGGTGGAAGGTGGTGTAAATAATGGGTTGGAATTGGAAATCAGAGAGCAGAGTTTCAATCCAATCAGGTACCTTTTTTTTTTTCTTTTTTTTAAAATCAGTTTTTACCCCAAGCAAAAATGCAAGAGTCTACTGGGAATGAATGAGTATGACTAAAAAGACTTTAAGGAACCGGAAACCCAATCCTGAACAACAGGGAACAAGGGAAACCTCTCTACTCCTGTTCAAAAGATCATTATTCACTTACATGCAAATACCCTTAAATCCACCGTTTCTTCCCCCAGCTATTGGTTAATTAGTAGGACTTTAGTAAATCATTATCTAAAAAAAAAAAAAAAACAAAAAAAACTTACAATTAAAAAACAAATTCTGGCTTTAAATAACGTGCAAAAATTGATAAACCGTAAAAAGGAAATCACTCAATCAATGCAAACGTGGACAGAGAAATGTATTTAAGAGGTCGACTAACGCCTACAGCCTACGTATTCTTTATTTTTGTCCTAAACACGCCCTACTAAATGTGAAAAATAGTTGCGCTTGTAACTTGTTTATTGCCATTTAAGTTTAAGTTTAACTACCCCTCCAAAAGAAAAAAAAAACACACTATTCAGTGGGGGGGGGGGCAACAAGCCTAATTTCATTTTAGTAGATACGTTGAGAAATATTTGTTTTAAAAATAAAATTAAGAGTAGATCGAACGTTACTTATTTGAACATAGTTATTTTGACAGTTAAGTCATTAGGTTTTTTTGTGAAAAAAAAAGTCATCATTACTGGGTAAATTAGAAATTGTAAATAAATTTTTTAAAAATATCCACAGAGTAGTCAATTTACTCTGGTAAATTAAAACCAGAAAAATGAATTATACAAACATTCTTTACATCTGACTTATAGCTTCTTTTTTTTTTAATTTTAGTACATAGGATTGAATAATAATACCCATAAAAAATGAATATGTGGCGCTATTACTGTTGCATTTCTCCCTACCCACTGCTGCATACTTCTCATAATCACCCCGAGTAACAGGCTGGACCTTGAGGATGCATAGTGGAAATCGGCGAATCTTTGCACGCAGAAAAAATAATAAATTATGGATGATTACTTTGTACTTGCAGAAATTGTGTGAAATCAAAGATTCAAAGTTTTATCATTTTTGGCATCAAATCGGCATGGGTTTCCCTTTCCGTGTATCCTGTTTATGAGTTCAGAGTTCTTAAATTTATTAAATTGAAAACTAAAAAACACTTTTAAAAATTTATATTGATTGTTGAATGTTGAGTCTCTTGAAAACAAGTTTCCAGATATCCAATTTATGGCCTAATGCAAATTTTAAGGTGCGGGAAGCAAATAGGAGGAGTTGCAAAAGTATTAAGTGTTGACTGAGTGTAAGTAAAAAAAAAAAAAAAAGTTTATAGTACACGGTCAACACATCATCTGTAATGAGTAGTACCCTATGAAAACTGTAGTTTACACTGTGACAGTAAATGTACATGTTTACGTTGTTTTAAGTGTTTGTTTTTTTTTAAAGTAAGTAAAAAATAATTAACTCCTTTCATTTTAAGATAAAATAAAAATAACTACACAGCCATTATTAAAACTTTGACGACTTATTAATTAAAAATTCACATATAGTCTCTTTTCTTTTGACAGAACTATTTTCGGAAGGTCCAAACAAAACACTTAAACTTAGCATGCAAATATAAATAAAGAATATTGTTTTTTTCTTCGTTAGTACTAGGTTTGTACTAGAAGATCCAAAAACTAAAAAAATCCAAACCCGTTTTTAAGTGGGAGGGTATTATTGTAGTTTACTCCCGCGACAAATTTTACCGCGTTTAAAAATAAAATTACTGAAGTCACTGACTATTAGTGTTGTTCACTGTTCAGTGTTCAGTCAGTGACTTCAGTATCCATTGAATTTCTTACTTTTAGTTTTTATGCATCTACTCAAATAATTTCACTTTCAGCTATCAGTTACTTTTAGTTTTAGGCTATCATTTTTTGGTGAATAATACCGGATATTCAAGTGTTAGGAATTAGTAGAGATTCATTGTTTTTAGATTTTAATAAATACTGAACTCAAATTATGCATAAAGGTTCTGACACATTTAAAAAAAAAAAGGCATAAATTCAACAATTTTTACTCAACCTTTAGGGTTTTTATTGCTCCAGCTATAAATGTACCGCTCTAATTCGGAACAAAAGTAGGTACAAACAAATATAACAATATTTCAAACTTGTTTATATTTACCGCGTAAAGTAGGATTTTTATTTTTATAGTACTGATACATTGTATTCAAATAAATAAATTGATACTCAACAAGTACTTAATCCTACTACTAATAAAAAAAGCGTGATTAGCATGAAAAAGCTTTAGTGTTCTGCTTACAATAATGAGATAATTAAAAAAAACGTTTAGTTGGCCTAGATACCTATTTTTAATTGGGTTGTTCATCAAGGACGTTAATTAAATTAATAAAACTTCTCAAATCATCACTCGTTCTTCTTTGTTGCCAGTCGTCGTTAATAGTAAAAGAAAAAATATTGATTAGCCATTCTTAAACTTAGCAATTATTAATTATCTCTGTATTTTTATCATTATTATATAAAAATTATTTCGCGTTATAATGGGAATATATCGCTATTACTAAAATTTATTTTGCTTAGAAACTAAAGTTGCCTGTTGTCGAACATGATCTCTAGTCGAAAGAGAAACTGCGAAAATTCACAGTATTGAATATTGATTGATTGACGATGATAAGAAATGACAAGACAAAAAGGTTATCCAAACTCAAACAATAACAATATGCTTTCGACCTGAATATAAAGTAATTATCTTTATTAAATAATAAAATCGTCTTTACTTTAAGTCTCTCTTTACGTAATGATGGCATCATAAAAAAAACATCATTTCAGATCGAAGGTATCAATCAATGAAAAAAACAAAAACATAATTGATATCATAAAATGGAAAATAGGAAGATAAACTAAAAATATTCGTTGACATTAAATAAAATTTAAAATAAAACTTTTTAGTAAGAAACGAAAAAAATTGTTACGCAATTATTCAGACTTTTGAGAGATTTTTACCATTATTGATTGTTGAATGCTTATTGAAAATATATAAACTATAAACATCTAGAGCTAGATAGATTTAAATTGAAAAAAAAAAATGAATTTAGCTTTAGCATCAGTAATTAATGATTTTTTTTATCGTATCCCGTGGGCGATCATGACTGTCTTCGATCTTCTATGGTAGTGAAATAAAATTAAAATCTTGAAAAAATGTTTTAATTTATAATGTAATTTAATAAGGAGGGAAAAGATATTTATAAATAAAACAGTAAAACGAATTTTGTTACGATTATTACAGAATCAATCACATCAAATTATTGTATGTAATCATTACATAATTTAATAATTAATTCCTACTAAAAACTTTTAGTTGTTTTTTTTTTAATTACTGTTTCCCCAGAGTGATTTCGATTTATAATTAAAACAAACTTAAAAGATAACTATTTAAATAAACTGGAACACATCATTCGGCAATGGCTTGATCAAAAACTATAATTACAAATCGAAGATGATGTTAATTACAAAGATAAATAAATAAACTGTCAATTGAGAAAGAAAGTAAACTTATCATATCGATAGGTTATTGAACAGAGAAGAAAACCTTGAGTTTGTTGAAGGTCATAAACAAACTGATAATCAAATCAATTCAAGATTATGTCAATCGTTAACCTTAACAAATTAATGTTTGTGTGAAATTAAATGAGTTAACGAATCTATTTGCTGTTAGAAAGAAAAAGAAAAAGCAAGAAATCAATCGTCTTTTAAAAGGAAGAAATCAAATCAGACGAAAATAAATATATCGATTTTTCCCAATAGAATATCATAATTATAGCTTCTTTATAATTAAAAGAAAAAGAATACATAAGACGAATTTATTTTATTTAAGGCAAAAAATATCGCATTAAGAAAGTAAAAATAAAAAAAAGAAAATGTTTTTATTAATGAAACTAAATAACAATTAAAAAAGAGTTGGCCGACGAAATCACGAGATTTTAAATATATTTTCATTTGTATTAAAACTAAATAAGTCGTATGCAAGATTAAAAATGTTTTCTGTTCATTTTAACATAAATTTATCTGTAATCTTATTGTTTATTTAGAATTTCTTACCTTTTTTTTCCTTTCAAGTGATGTAACGAAACATTAAAATGCTGCCTTCTTTCTACCAGAACGTCGTCTCCCACACATAAAGTTACAACAGCAAATAGGTAATAATACCATGGACCAAGTTTCACCTGGCATCAATCAAGAACAAGCACTTAAAATCTATCGATCATCAGAAGAAATTGTTTTTCTTCTTCTCTCTGTTCACTTTCTCTCGTTTTCCTTCCTTAACGAAGAAACTTTCATGATTTGAACTGACCGATGAGTATCGCCATCAGCAAAGATGCATTCTGGGTACAGTGGGCGTATCGGCAATAACAAGCCATTAGTAGTTTCGTATAATTTAGAAAGCAAAAACAGAACGATCTCGCTAGATTGTAAATGAAATTTATTAATTAGTAATAACAAATTCCAAAATGTCGTGATTTATTGATGAAAAATACACATATTTACATCCTTGGAGTCATTCTCGCCATTTGTGGTGAAATCAAAAAGTACATGTTAATTAATTCACAGATTTGAAAATGATAAGCAATCTCGTGTTTCTCTAAAAATTAATCTTCTGATTTAAATATTTATTTTCCAAACCTAAAATTATTTCGAAATTATCTCAGATTTAATTTTAATTAAGACCACACAGTGACTAAACATTAAACAATAACTTGAAAATATAAAAATTACTTTTTAAAAAAACTAATGGCCAGCAATACAATTACTGACTGAATTTTGGCATCATTTGATTTATAACTAAGTCAGAAATTTAACAAAAGTTCAGCTTAATAATTTTGAAAACAAAAAAAAAACTCATTCCACATTTTCTTAGACATGTATAAATTTCTTTTCTTTCTATTTTTCTTAAAGTCGAATGATTGCTTCGAGCTTCATAATTCTGAGTAATAGTGATTAATTAACTTTCTTTAAATTAAAAAAACTTTCAAAAATTAGAAATGTTTAGATTAGAATTTCATTATTTTTTTATAAAATTTGAATTATTTTTTAAAAAATTCATATCTTTATTTGTGAAAAAATTATATTTAACCAAAAATTTTAAATTTTTAAAAAAAAAAAAAAAAAGAAAGAAAGAAAATATTTTTCTCAAAACATTTTTCTTATAAAATTGCAATTTTAGTTGTGGAGAATTTAAAATACTACCATACTTTTCTTTTCTCCCCATTTTTTTTTTTTTTTAGTTATTTTTTCAAGCATAACTTTTAAGAATAAAAAAAAACTAAAAGAGTGATTAATTTTACAGTTGATGTTAACTGGAATATGTATTTTAAAATGCTTTTCTTTTACATTTTCATAAATTGAAGAAATGACCAGTAACAACTGACAACGCTGAAGAAGCTGCTTCTTTGTGTTGTCTTATGAGCCGTCTCTCCACGAAAACAGATACGGCATGAAAGACCTTCACGCAGACGGATGGCTAAAAAAAATTGTTTTTAAAAGTTTAGTTCCTTCTACATATCATTTTTGGCATGCTACATGCATTAAGGGGGGTTGAGACCCTATTTTTCTTAATGCGATGGAAATGTGCGGTCAGATGGAACAGGTTTCTTGGAACTCTTTGTAAAAATGTTGATTGTCAACAATCAACATGGTTTTTAAACTTATTAAAACGTAAAATATTAAAATTTTACAATGCTTAAACAACTTAAATATTTAGGACAGGAGAACTTCTCAAGCACCAAACCAATTTTATGAAGCTATTGTTTGAATTATTAATAAAATAAATTTTATGTTAAGGAATCTTAATTTTAGTCGCATCTGTAGTCCTGTTTTTATTACTATTATTATTATTATTATTCTGACAGGAAGTGAAGAGAAAGAAACCGGAAGTAAAATTTTCAATTTCCATTTTTTTCTTTTTTATTTACAACATGGATCGTTGCCAAGCTTTTCACTGATTATTATCTTTTCCGTCGTCATTTGTCTTTCAACCGGACAGCATATTTAAGGTTATATTTAAAAGTGATAGTTTAATGATCAGATCAATATTCAATATAAAAACACTTGCCTCAGAAAAGTTACATCTTTCTTAATAATTCCTATTTCCAAGAGATTATTTTGCTTCCATTCATAAAAACTTTTAAAAGAAAAATTTAAATTACTATATAAATAAATACGCAATTTTTTGTTGTAACTTTAAAAATATGTGATGCATTTTAAAACTCGTAGCATTTTTTAAATTGCTTTATTATCCTTTTTTTTTTAGTTTTGTAAATAATCATGAAAGCTGTCTTTTGGGAATTCGGTGAAGACGAAGTACCAAATTTTGTTGAAAATAATGTGAGTATTGTAGTAAAAAATGAGTTTTAAAAGTTAAAATCATTTTATCTACCTAAATTTTTTTTGTTGTATATTCTAATTGATGTTTCATTTTTATTGAGCATTAATTTGTATTCTTGTAAAATATAATTCATGTGTTGTGTTTATTTTGCTGAAAACGATATTCATGTTTGTTGTTATTTTGCTTATGCTTTTTTTTATGCCAAAAGCATGATGCACCCAGCGAACTCATTACGAATGATTAACCACACTGGCTCGTTATTACCCTACACAGCGAAGCTCCCAAATTCATATATTTTTTTAAATTTTCAGAATAAATTAACTTTTTTATCTTCCATTCTCATACGAATCGATATTATTTGTGGTTAAAAATTTAAAAAAAGACATTTCTTAGAAATCGTTTTTAATTGAAACATTTACTCTGAGTTCATAAGTTAAAAAAATGTTTTACTGTAACGTTTAGGGGGCGTATTCATTCATTTCTTACCCATTGCTATCTTCTCAATAACAAACTTTTTAAAAAATCCGTAGAGAAAGTTATGAGAAAAATATTACTGAAAAAGTTTTTCATATTTATAACAAAACTAGATATCCTTCTTCTTTTTCTTTGCCATTTGTCTTACCAATTAAGTGACACTGGTTATACCAGATACCGCATTTTATTTTTAACATATCTGTCCACCCACCTGTTAAGTGCTCTTCAATTTAAAAAAGTTCTACGTGAGCGTGTTCGCAAAATATTTTTTTTGAAAGAAACTAGAATGGAACATGGACTAAAATCAGCTGGCATAAAATATAATATTTTTTCACTTATGCAAATATTCAAGCACAAGTAAACTTCAATTCACAGACTTTATGATAATTAGAGTAAACGGTATTTTTTTAACAGTTTTAAACGATTTTTACGTGCCAAATACTGATTTATCTCCCATACATCGGGCGTAAACATATTCTTGAACGAAACTCCTAATTATAACCACTCCTCCTATACTAAAAAAAATACGTTTTAGCTAGAATTTAGAAACGAAGTTACATATTTAGGTTTGTTAAATTATGAAAAGCTTATTAAACATTATCCTGCTAGAATCACTTCAGTTTTGCATATCAAATGTGGGTGATATTTATTTTATTTATTTATTTTTTTTTTTTTGTAAGATTTCCCAATACAGCGAGTAAAATTTATTTACTAAATAAATTGTAGTGCTGCAGAAATACTTCCCACACCATGGTAAGACATTAGTGGTTTGGTAAATAGTGTCTTCATCTAGCTCATGCCTTAATGTGGGAGGTATTTGTAAAATCTATATCTACAAATACTGTATTTGAGATTTATTGATCACAAATGTTGAATTAAATTTAATATTTTGACTTTCGGAAGAATTGTTGAAATAAATTGTATTGCATCACAAACGCTATTTTTTGTATTTATTTCCATTCCATAACTTTTTGTATTGAAAGGAAAGTTCGCAATATGAGTCTCGTTTAAAAAGGTTACGTCCATTGTAAGGGAGATAAATTAGTGTACAGAATGTTAAAAAAAAAAGTTTATAAAATAAGGTACTTCCACAGAAACGCGATATTCAAGTTTAAAATGAATTATTGAAAATGAAAAATCTTTCTGGAAGCTTTTAGTTTTAATTTCAAGCCAATAAATTAATGAATTAATAAATTAATTAACTTTACTCTATTTCAAAACTAATTTAAATTGACTGGAAGGAGTTTTTATTTTGAAATTGTTAAACGCTGATGTTTAACATAATTTTTAGTCATGTTAGCACAATGTACTTCTCTTTATTAAAAAAAAATATCTACCAAAAATAAAACATACATTTCTGAAACTTTACTTGAGGTATATTAGCTGATTTCATTTTAGTTGAAAATATTGCAGAAATGTATTTTTAACAGAGAAGTAACTGTTTAATTAAGGTGATGACTGGCAGACGGAAGTTTTTCTAATTTTTTTCTATGGTGGACATAATTACTTGAGGAATATAACGTGAGCGCCTTTTTTATACAGATGTTTTTTTTTTTTTTTAAAAAAAAAAGTTTTTTAAAATGAAACATTTCTAAAATAATTTCATTCATTTGTGAATAAGTCCTGAAAGTTTAATTAAAACCCAACAATTATTTGTTTTTTTGCAAAAATTTCAAAATTAATGTGTTTTTTACCACAGAAAAGATGCTTAAATTTCCTATACTAATCTTTGGTTCCTCCCCCTTGCCCGATGACGCAAGAAAAACACGAATTTTAACCAAAATTTCGAATGTTCTGAAAAGGATAAAAAAATATAATTTACTAATCGAAACTCCTTTGGTCTTTCTTTTTAATAATAACAAAGATTTTGATGATAAAACTTTGTTTATAACTTTGGAGCATTTTTTCATCATTGTCTGTTCATTTTTATAGTGAATCTGTGGTGGTACCGAGATAAAATCTATTATATTCACACTGGTTTACTTCTTTTACATTGTCATTTTTTATTATAATTTTTTTAACTAGTTTCATATTCTGAACCTCCTTATAGATTTGTGAAGTTCCATATCCAAAATAAAACAATTTTTTTTTTTTTTTTTTTTTCTGGGACTGAAATTTAATCCCAGTGAATAATTCTGCAGAGATATTTCAATTTACAAGGAAAAATTTTTTCAGTTAAAATCACAGAATCAAGAAAAAAAATGTCCTTGTGTTGGCATGTTTTTTTTTTTTTCTTTACATTACATGAGTGGAATGTAAGTGAGGTAGGTTAAGTGGTAAAAGTAAAAATGATGCAAATGACCTAAAATTAGTGTACATTTGACAAATGTAAACATTAACTTCAAAACAATATATTTTTCTTTTTTCTAAATAAAACTTTTAGCAAAAATAAAATTCTTAAAATATTATGCTCATGTTTATTAAAGAAAAGTCTCATAGTGTAAATATGTACAAATACTATGTTTCATCATAACCATGTGTTTTTTTTGTTTTTTTTTTTTTTAAGCAGGACTGAGATTAATCTTATACAAAGCAAAGTGGGTCTTGCTTGACAGATGATCTCAGTTAACCTCTCCACATATTGTCACCTACGCCCTATTCATGCTCTCTCTTCTGTCTCTTCTCTTTCTTTCTCACTCGCTAGAGTTGTTGAGTAATACTGAACTTATGAGTCATCTGGCTTTCTTTCTCCTACTCAGTTCTCCTCCTTGATAGAGTGAATTCTGGTTTCTCAAAATTTTACGATATTGGGATTGACGGTAAAGTCTAGTGAAGGATTTAATGTGTATGCTGTATTGGGAATCCAGTTTGTAATAAGAACTCCTTCAATAAATTGCATGACACTTGATAACTCTAAAAACGGGTATATTGAAGATAAAAATAAACTGGTTAATAAAATACCTGTATTGTATTATTTACTGCAAAATCAGGTTCTTCCCTTTGCCTGGTTATGATTTGCGAATAGTGGAAGGAACACTACCAGTCATGTATGTGTCTGTATGTTCTCTTCAGTCACCAAAAATGTGAGTGTGTTATTTGTAGGGCACTGGCTGTCTGACTACTCCTTGTCCGGCCCAATTTTCTATCTGTATGGTTGCCCCTTGTTTATATCGATGATTCTCCTCAAAAACTTTTACCTGTATATATCGCATTTCTTCACCTCAACTGTCTTATTCTTAGGGGGTCTGTAAATAACCACATAGTACTCTTTGTTTTTAGAATTTCCTGTCCTTTCTGTAAAGATAATGGTGTTTGGGGGCAGACAGCAGCAACATAAACAAATCCCAAGCTTTGAAATTAGACAACATCCAGATGCTTTCTTTGTCTAGAGAAAAATTTGGTTTATTCATTTCTTTAAGATTACATATATTTTGAACAGACAGTATAGATATAAACAAACCTTCAAAATTTAATTTCTCAGGAGCAAGAAATTCAGCCACCTTAATCATGACATTATCTTATCAATGGGAAGTGGATAGGGTAGGGAAACTTTGCTTTTGCATAATTTTACTGAATCTTGTCTATTTAATTTTGGGTTTGATTCTCCTTGGAACCGTTCTTAAATTCATTTTACTGTTCAAAACATAATTCTTAACCAGTTTTTTTTTTCCATCATTCATCCTACTCTTTTGAGAATTTTAATAATTATTGTATAATTAGTAGTCTTTCCAAATCACTATCCTACAGTTTTATGCAATTAAATGTTTGAACAAGGTCAGTGACCTGTTACAATGTACTTGTCAACATACTGGGACTTGTCATAATAATTTGAGGCAATGTTTTACAAGACCAGATGCTCTTCCTAATTTCCAATTCAGACATTATTTCTATTCAATCAAATATAAAGCTCCCCCCAGCTTAGCCCTCAAATTTATATTAATAATTCAGTATTATGGAGTTTGTTAGATACATTTATCAGTAATCTACATCCTCTAGATTGCAGTTTTGCAGAAGTTTTGCTTTGGTGGCCACATTTAAAGAAAAAAAAAATATTTTGTATCATGTTTTGCTAAATTGTATATAAAAAAAAAAGGTTACTCTATGAGTGCAAACTGGTACCATGTAACCCAGTACTAGTTGGTCAGGTTGTCAGTAACTAAACTCCACCTGGTGAGGAGAATTGTTAAATAATAGTTTAGCATACTATTATTTTTTAGAGAATGTGTATCTCTACTTCAACTTTCTGAGGTTGACTAGGGATCAGATACAAGACATAATAAGGAAGTTGATTGGCTGAACTAGTGTGGGAATGATAGAGAAAGGTTTTTCATCCTGTTGAGTCTTCACTGTCTAGCAATATATTCTCTTTCGTGTCTGAAACAGCTTCTCAGTGAGGAGTGGTGGGAATGACCCCTACTGGATAATTAGTACATATCGACAATAATAAAATAGTTAAGTTAAAATTCTTTGTGTTGGTGTCTTTTCATTGTTTCCCAAGAATATCAAGCAATCACTGGCCACAAGAGAAAAATGCAACTTTATTATCGAATTGACACTGTCACCCAAGAACTCCTAGCAGACGGGGGTTATACAACAGGATGACTCAATGTACAACAGGATTAAATACAAGACCTGTGAAAGGATGGCTGAACATTGCTGTAGAGTCAATGGCTATCAAGCACAATGGGGTAGACTGGGTCCTCATAGCTATGTATGCTGTGATGGATGGAAGACTTCCTAGTCAACAGCTAGGGTTGAGGGTTTCTCTGCTGGAATCATTGGCCACATGTCTGTGACTAAAGCAAGCCTTTATGTTGGAGTACATTAGCTGTGGTTTGATCTGGAAAAGGATGAGCTCTGCCAGGTTTGCCTAATACATGCTATGCATAAATGAATACCTCTCCAGTTTTCAACCCAGGTATGTCGATGGAACTGGTCAAGTGCTCAGCTGCTTGATGACCCTGTGACTACACCCAGTCATAGAACTTATGTAGATATAAAAATAATGAAAAATTTAGCTAATAATTATATAAAGAATGTGTAATTAACTGCACAAAAGTATTGTAACATACCAGTTTGGAAAGTTCTTGTCTGTAGACATTACCTTACCAGACATATAAAACCTAGATTTGTTTTTTTTTTTAAATATTTTTTGGGAAGACCTTGTATGCTATTAGATGCAGTAAATTATTTAAAATCCAATTTCCATTGAACAGCCAACAAAGTGATTTTTTTTTTTTTTTGCCCTGAATGCAAATATCTTTGAATTGTTTCTACAGATAGCTTTAGTTTAATTTTGATCTTCATCTTTCCTTACATGCATGTGACATCTGATAGTAATCAATAATCTTTTTACTAATAATAACCTCTACCTCTACACTAGACCAAGTGAAAAGAAAATATTTGTGCAAATGATTTATTTTGACAAATAACTAGCTGGACCTGTGGCATTTTCACAAATGTTTACAATAAAGATATTATTACACTTGCATGTATAATTTCGCAATTATTGACAGAAAGGTTTGTTATATGCTTACCAAATATACATTTGCACATATTTTTGAGCTGTGTCCCTTCAGGACATAGGCAATCATGGCTCTCCACAATATCCTGTCCCTTGTAGCCCTTAATGAACTTTGTCTGTTATTTCTCCTAAGACCTGTTTTACCATCCATTTACTGAAGCTCACTAAGTGTGTTATCCATTGTTTTCCTCTGTCCCTCTTGCTTTCTGTCTGTACTGTGAGTATCAGATTTTCCAAGCCCTCCTTCCACATTATATGCCCCAGAAACCTCAACTGTCTCTTCCTGATGTTAAGTATTTAGTCACCTTTTTGTTTTTATTTTCTTCAAAACGTTGTCATTACTCATATGTTCCGTCCACGGTATCCTCAGCATCATTCTGTAGGACGACATTTCTTTTGTTTCATGTCTGCTCTTCATGTTTGATGAGATTGTCCAGTACTCACAGCCATGCAAGAAGATAAATATCGTATAGCAGTTTAGTACTATTTTCCTATTTCTTAGTACTTTGCTTAGATTTTGGAATGCTTCATTCTCTCTGTCAGTGCCTCTCTCTCCTCTCTTTTCTCTCCCTTTTTCTCTCTCTCCCTTCTCTCTCTCTATCTTCTGTTTTCAGGACAGGAGGCAGGCAAGATTTACAGATCTCTTTGCAAGCAAACAGGAATGGTCCATTGTTTATCCAAGGTGATAGCTGGGTATAACATAAATGCTCACTGAATTATAATATGAATTATAATATGACTGAGGAATTGAGATCAACTGTTACCTTTTGACAACTATGTTTTGGCTGAAAATAAATCCCAAGAAAACCTTAAATATTTTTCTTCTTTTCAGATTCCTGTTCCTTTGCCAGGAAGAAATGAAGTTCAAGTAAAAGTCAAAGCCTGTGGACTCTCTTCTATCAATTTTAAAGTAAATCTCTCTCATTACACTTTTTAAAAATATTTTCCCTCCAAAATAAATCTTTGCCATCATAGTTTATTTCTGACACTTGATTTCTGTGTAAAAGTAGCTGAATTTAAATCCTTTTTTCCAAATTGTAACAGTTGACTTAAAGGTTATTAATACTTGCAATCATTATACCTTTTACTATATTTTTTTTTATTTTTTTTTTTTATTTGTTTACTAGTGAAATAATCAAATGAGGTGATTGTAAAATCCTAGTATACTCACATTGCAAATATAACAACTTCAAATTAAAATTACATGTACCTTATTGTTTTACAGGCCCTTTACATAGTGATTATTTTTCCTCAGACTTTTTCAACTTTTTACTCTAAAATTCTCAGATCAAAATAAAAAAGTGATGTTAACGTAAAAAGTATTAATCCTTGTGATATTTTGAAAATGTTCATCTTAGATTTCAAGAGATTTCCTTTTCATATTTATATTCTTATTTGTTGTTATTCCTTAGTACTCATGTGGTACACCTGTAGCTTCTCATGCTGAAAATTATCACCCTAATACACGCCTGTTTGAAATTGTAAATTTCAAGATCTATTTTAATATCCATGAAAAGATAGTTTTTGTATTTATTATTATTATTTATTTATTTATTTATTTATTTTTTTGCTTGATATTGGGTTCCTGGTCTCTTCTAAAGTCTGCTTTAACTCTATACTCCTATCGTCTCTGCCTGAACTCTGAAACTTTATTCACTAATTAAATCTTAACCACTTCAAGTCTAGAATTAACGATCTTTCCTGTTATCTTGCTCCTTTTTTATGCTAATACAACTTCACACAGTAGCCCTCTGCTTTGAGTGGCTCTTTGGCCTTGTATTGGGTGAACATTAGTGAAAAAAATATCAGCCTAACTTATCAGCCAGAAAAGAAATGTGGATGTGTACTGTTTGTATTTTTTGTAGGCACCATAATGGTACAGATAGTATGCCTAATCCACATGCATTAACCTGCTGCCACATAAGCAAATCAGCTACTCTAATAAAAATGCTAATGCTGGTGATATGAAAGATTTAGGATTAGAAGCTACTGAACACTGAACTAACCAAGATTCAGTAAAATTATGCAAAACCAAGGTTCCTCACTCTAACTACTTCCTGCTGATAAGAAGATGACATAATTGATGTGTTATCTGAAGTTTTTGGTCCAGAGAAATTTAATTTGGGGATTTGTTTACATTCATACTATCTGTCCAAAGATACAAAATAATGACTTTTCCTCAAATTATAGACAATAGCATGTGTTGATAAATGACAAGTGATGCACATTTTGATTTTTATTGTGTTTTATAGGATTGCCATGACATAGACGTGTTGATACTTTTTATCTGAATATAAGCAAAATGTACAAATTTTTATTTTTTTTTTTCTTCTTCTTCTTGTTTTGAAGTTTCTAGAAAAGCTATTCCAAAAATATCCAGAAAAAAGGCAACGGTATATTGTTGGTCAGGATGTAGCAGGAATAGTCACTGAGCTAGGTGAAAGTGTTTCAACATTCAAAGTTGGAGACGCCATTGTCGGTAAGTGTTACCTTATACAGTCTTATGTTGATTTTAATGAGAAAATTTGATTAATCTTATGTTTATTAATAAACCATTCAACTGTATTGTGTAGTATATGACATCACCTAAGATAGCCTTTGCAATCAGTGTACATCAGAGAAGCCAGTTGCATTAGTGGATTGACTTTAGAGAGGACCTCTTAGTAAACAGATGCTGTTCCATACCTACACTAGATGTCAGTGGCTTCCCCAGTATGAAAACAAGTGGTTGATCCAGCTGTACCTAGGATGTACAAATGTGTGACAGACTGGATGACAGATAAATAAAACCTAGACAAACCTTTGACCACGCAGGTCTATATTTTCTTTCTTCACTCATTTAGTTTCTTTTATTAAAAAGTTACCATCGTTGAAAAGTACATTTGATAAAAAAAAACAATAGAATTCAGTATCAGATTTCTAATTAGCATTTTTTTTTAATCATTTCATGCAAATCATGGTAACAAAAACACGAGGGGTTACTGAATGTGAGAGAATGAGAAAAATAAAACATTATTCATGAGAGAGAACAAAAAAAGAACTGAAATCAAAAAGATAATGATGATATCGCAATCAAAGATCAAGTTGACCAGAAGCTGGTTATATCCAATCATTTCATTCAGAATAATTGCCATGAAAATATAGAAAAGGCAGAGGCGAGCTATATTATGGTTTAAATTCATAAACTCTAGGTACCAAAGAGGAAAGCTCATCAGAGTAATTAGCATGAAAACACAGAAAAGCCACAGGGAAACCATGTCATAGTGGTGAAAAAGTGACTGAAGCCAAGGTACCAAGCCATGACCAATAACATTGCAAATTCTTCCTTGGGTTTTATCAAGAATCTCTAAATACATAACAGAAGCACCAGACGAGATGTGGCAGCAATATTCAATGCATGGGCAAATAGTCGACTTAGAAATGTATTAGGAAATTAGTTATTATGTTTGTATAAAAATCTGAACTTACCAATAATATACTTGGTATTTTGTAAAGTGCTTTGAGCAACATCAATACTTGGTCCCAATGAACAGAAGCTATGATTGTCAGGTGGACCTACAGAAACAATAGCCACATCAAGGCCCAAGTGAGGTATCTTGCTCAAGATAATTGGACATTGCCATCAACAACAACCTGCCAACAGTTTGCTTCTAAGAAAAGGGAATTGCTGTGAAATGTGCCTGCATATTCTGGTTTTGAATAAGTGCCTGGTACCTTTCTATGAAGGTAAATTACCTCAACATCTTTCAAGATAGTGATGTCAACGAATACTAGTTGTCAATTTCATAATGCCCATTGTAGTAGAAACTTTGTAATTGCAGATACAACTATAGTAATGCTGTTGAACAATGCTAGTGTCAGACGACTTTGAATATCACTCACACTAATAGTACTTGATAATACTCGCTCGAACACTAATTCATATAGTGAAATAGTATAGAGAATAGCATTCTGTATATTAACAGAGGGTAGAGTAGAAATGGTGAACCTAATAGTAATAGAGGAGAGAATAGAAATAGCGTTCATTTTGATGTCATGTGATTTCCTATTTATGCATTTCTCCCATGGTTACATGATCCATTTAATTCAATAATGGGATCATCTGAGTTTAAAAATAGATTGCCATGTTTGCTCACTGGCGATCTCTGTTCAAACTCAAGTGTCGGCAGCGACACTTTATTCTTATATAACACTTTTTTTACCATATTCTGCCAAGGCACCCATCAGGATAACAGGAGTTGCAGCAGCACCATGCATGAAAACACACACATCAGATTTAACAGTAGAGATGGCCTCCTCAGCTGAAACTCAATTAGGTTCACAATGGAGTTACTGATGAGACAGTACCATGGCATCAGCATAGTAGCTCCGATTCAGACATTACAGCAGACACTAAAACAGATTTTGAGATTCGCCTGAAACACTAGCATGTCATCTCTTACATGATACCATTTTGTCTTTTAAAAAAATTCTGAAGCTGAGATGCCAATGATTGTTGTTGTTTAGTTGCACTCACTTGACAGTGTGAGTTTGAATGAAATTAAGACAAGAAAATGGTTGACATTTCATTTTCAAGTTTTGAAGATCAAAGTTGACTGGGAAGCAAGAAGCTGGAAGACAGTTCCACAAGTGAGAAATGTGATAGAAGAAACTGTTAGCATGGAAGTTATTTCAACTGTAAAATGATGAGATCTTGCCCTCAATCTAGTACTGTGCTTAAATTCATCAAGTCTACGTACCATAGAGGAAAGTTCACCAGAACAGTTACCATAAAGTATTTTTTTCAGCAATAAAATGGAATTGCTTGGAAACTGTGGTAAAATAAAAAAACTGGTAGCGAGAATCATTTCATGACAGCTTAAGCTAGTGGTTCTCAAATGCAGTGCCATAGCACACTAGTGTGTGTGTGTGGAAGGAAGTAGTAATGGTACAGCATTAGTATTTGAATAAATGAGAAAGTATTAAATTTTTTTAAATAATTCTTTTCATTATTCTTCTATTATGTTATTTTAGATACTTTGTTTAATATTCATTTTTTAAAAAGTAATTTGATTTTTTTAAATTTAACTTTAAAATTTTCCTTTATTTGAATAAGTGAATATTAACCTTTTTTTTATATAATTGTATTCAATTCTTTGTTTAATTCAAAATCTTTGCAAAGTTATATTGAATTATGAATTGTTGAAGTTTCTGATATGCAGCATTGAGCATTTGATTTAATAATTTTACAATTTTTTCAGAGTATATTACTCTGAAATTTGTATAAAAATGAAAATGATATTAATTGTACTGAAATTATTACTTTTTCCATAGTATTATTTTATATCACTTTCGTACACCAATAGTTTGAAATATAGCTGAGTGTGCCGTAATATTTTCATTTACTCCTAGGTGTGCTGTTGCTTAAAAAGGTTGAGAAACACTGGTTGAAGCAATATAATTGTCCCTGAAAAACAAGCTGACAAAATATGAGTTCCGAGGACATATCTCCTCCAAATTTTAATTGTTATTTCTTTTAGATTTGATCAATGAAACAAACAAACAAAAAAATCCTTAAAGACAACAAAAATAGGCAAAGTAAAAGAGAAACTATTTCCTCTCAAAAGCAACTTATTAAAACTCTGAACCTTTAAATTTATACTGTTTATAAACTACAGGTGAGGCATTTTACCGGTTTTGTTTATTTTTTGTTGAAAAAGTTTAATATGTTATTTTTTCATCAAAAAGAAATAATTATTTATTTTTGTTTGTTTTTAAGGTGTTCTTCCACTTGATAGTGTCGGTCCAGGATGTGCAGAATTTTGTATCTTCCATGAGTACGATATTGGTAGGTTATTTAGTTATTTTGTTCTTGCATTGTCAGTTTAGCACATAAAGTGCATGCTTTACTCAAAGTTACAAAAGGGCGTTTTAGATGTTTTTATTTTAAATTTTGTTTTCATTTTAATCTTTTCTCTTTGTTCATGTTTCTTGCATTTTATTTTGCTTTTTCTCTTTTTTTTCTTTCTCTTTTTTTTTTCCTTCTCTTTTTTTTTTCCTTCTCTTTTTTTTCCTTCTCTTTTTTTTTTCCTTCCCTTTTTTTTTTCCTTCTCTTTTTTTTTTCCTTCTCTTTTTTTTTCCTTTTTTTTTTTCCTTTTTTTTTTTTCCTTCTCTTTTTTTTATTGTGTGTGCATATATATGCAAGTCTTACAACCAAAACATGTTCTCAGTACTTGCAAGATTAATTCTGAATATTGTTTTCCTTTTTTTTTTTTTTTTTTTTTTTTTTTTGGTGGTGGTGGGGGTCTTTTTCCTCTCTTTTTTTTTTTTTTTTTTTGTCTCTTTTTAGTTTGCCTTATTATTTTTTTACTTTTTCTCTCTTCCTTATTTTCTGCTTTTATTTTGGTGATTTTTTTTTCTTTTCTGTTTTTTTTTTTTATTGCTTTTTTGCTGTTCACTTGATTTTTGTTTCTACTTATTTGCTTTTTCTGTTTTTATGCCATTTCATTTTCCTATATTTTACTTTTTTGGGGTGATCTTTAGTAGGCTTTCTCTTTGTTTTTTCTCTTTTTTTGTTTTGGGAAGTCTTTTTTTTTATGCTTTTTTTTTTATGCTTTTTTTTCTGTTTATTTTCTCATCTTTTTGTTTTTTGTGTGGGTTTTTTTCTCTCTTTTCACTTTTCTCTTTATGTTTAGATGTTTTGCTGTCTTACTTTTTTTTTTGCTATTTTCCTCTTTTTTTGTTTTTAATTCTTCAGTAAGGCTTTTACCCGAAGCCTCTTGTATTATCTACACGAGATTATTATGGATTAAAATTTCTTAAACATCATAATCTAAATCTTGTAGACATATTGTTTGAAAACAAAAATCATTTTTGTTTCTTGTATTCAGTGAAAAAGCCAGAAATGTTAAGTTTTGAGGATGCTGCCTGTGGTATTGGTGACTGCATTCGGGCATACACAGCTCTTCATTGTCTTTGTCGGCTTAGTGCTGGGGACACTGTCCTTGTGATTGAAGGATCAACGCCTTTCTGCAGTATTGTCATCCAATTGGCACTGAGTTGGGGAGCTAAGGTGATTCTCATGTTTCTTTATTATTTTCATGGATAAAAAAAAAAAATGTTAATTCCTATTTCGAGTTGTGCAAATATTTTTTAAATCTATTATAGATTTAAAAAATATTTGCACAATTCGAAATAGGAATTAACATTTTTTTTTTTTTTTTTATTACAAAACATTTTATCATATATTGTCTTTACTGAGATTTACTGTATTTGCAACTGTAAATTTTTTATTTAAATAATTTTACTTTTTGTACACAATTATTTTTAGTTTAATTAAGATCAAACTGGACAAATTTTAAATCTCTTAAATTTCTCCCATGTAACAAGATTTTTGGGGAAAATACTTAATATCATAAAGAATTGAAATTTCTGGGGCACATTAATGAGGAAAGAGGGCTTGGAGAATTTGATGCTCACAGGACATTGAAGGCAAGAAAGACAAAAGAAAGCAGAGAATAAACTAACAACTTTGTGTAAATGGTTGGCAGATTAGGAGAGATAGCAAAAATACAAACCTTACTAAGAGCTACGAAGAACAGGAAGTTGTGGAGAGTCATGATTGCCCATGTTCAGAAGAGATCTGACACACGGAAGAAAAGCTAGTGAAAATGTGCAAATTATAAACGGTTGAAAGTAACCCTGAAAATTATTTGAGGTAATCAATATTCAATTAAAATAGATAGGCAGATAGTGTAATCATAGAAGTTGGGGAGGGATGTTGATTTTTTTTAATCCCCCCCAAAAAGGAACAAACTTAAGACCACCCTGTTTATCAACTTTGTACTTCTGACCCATTAAATGATTTTCCAACCACTCATTTCATTAAAAATCTCTCTGTTCATTGCTTATTGAGAAAAATGTCCCAGCACAAAATTATTAAGATCCCCACCCCCTTGTATTAAGTACCTAAGATTAACAGTTATCAGAATGAAAAATAAAATTGGTGAACAGTTCAGATTCTGACTAAGTCTATTTTGTTTACTTTGCACTAATGCCCTTGGGAAAAGCATGAATCTATGGCTAAAATAACAGCAAACTGGGCTCTATGTCCTTGAGAAGGACAATTGGTTTAGCATGGGGCTAGAAATTCCACTTTGTAAAATCTACTTGCTACTGGAACTACAATGGCAGTTACTCTTGTCATGGTGTTGTTACAGCCTTGTTCTTCTTGGAACTGCAATGACATTATCTCTTGATATGGCATTGTTAGAGCCTTTTTTTTTTTTCCTTTGTATCTCATTAACAATTTTCCATACTAAAATACCCTACAAGCAAAGATTAAATGATGAACTTCTCTTAGCATAAGGTCTTCTATAATAAATGTGAATGTCAGTGTGTCACACTTTTTCAACTTTATTTTTAGAGGCCATAGCCCAACGTATCATACTATTTTGGAGTCGGGCTGACTCTGTGAGGAAATTAGAAACATTCTGGGGCAGTACCAGTCCTACAATCCTGAAATTTTGAATTCCCAAGTTTTCATTATTGCGATTGTTTTCACTGAGTTCTATTTTATTTTAATTTTATTTTGTTTTTATTTTTATTTTTTTAAATTTAAAAAAAAAAATACTTTTTATTTATTTATTTATTTATTTATTTATTTATTTATTTTTTTTTTTTTTCAATGATTTTTTGAGACAAATTTTTTTTATATGATAACAATTTTTATAATTTAAAAATAAATTTGGGAATAATCAAAATTAATTGCAAAATTCAGTGAATGTCACCCATGAAATAAAAATAATTGTTTGTGTGGAAAGTTTGGACCTACGTACATCAAATTGTCTTTAAATTAAGTGGTAGCAGAAGAATTATTATTGAACTTTTAAAAGGTATGCTTAAATATAAATGCAATACATAAATGCAGTGAGCAATTTTGAGTTGTTTTGTATTTTATTGTTGCCTATCACATCTATTCCTTTCTACCAATTTTGACAAAGTCCCAATCAAGAACCCTTCACAGCTAGCTTACATGCCGCCCGACAGGGCGGAATAACCATTCTAAAGATGGTGACTCAATAAAATCATCCATCTCCCAGCAAGCCTGGTCCACTCATGGAGATGCATTGGCTCATGAAAATGCACAGTGACTTAAGTTCTTCACTTGTATGATTTGTGCATTCTGTTGCAGGCATTTACTTTTCATGCAAAAAGTAATTGAAACTTATTGTTATTTAAATGTTATGTAACTTTGCTTTTTTTTTTTTCTTTTCTTATATTTATGTCCAAATGTCATCACAAAATAAACAACAGGTCATATATTCATTAAGTTTAGTCTGCTACAGGGCAGATGTGTGTAATGGATAGTGACTCAAAATGAAAAAAAAACAGAGCCAATTTCAAATTCCTGTAATATTCATTACATTCACTTACACGCAAATACCCTTGGGGAAAGATATGAATCCATTTCCTCCCCCTAGCTATGGGTTAAATAATAGCACTTGTATGTAGAAAAATCCTTATTTTATAAAAATTATTAATGCAATATTTATTTGCAAAAAAAAGTACCATTCTTACAATAGAAAATATGTTTTGGCTTTTGGTTAATGGCTTATCAATCATTTATGGGTTATTTAAACCCATAAATGATTGATAAGCCATTAAAAAAAAAAAAAAAAATCAGCCACCTGCTCCAGGGCTATAATAGTCAGATACTTAGGGAAAATTGAACTCCTTACACTGGCATGTTAACCATTACTCAACACCAGATGCTTTAAGATACTTACTAAACTGGCCTTTATATGGTACAAGGCTATAAGAATTGGGCCCCTAAGGATGATCACTCTCCCTAAACTAATGAATGGTCTGTGAGATTTATTTGATAACAATTGCTTTATGGCAAATGGACAACAGATGTTTGCTATGTAGATATGCAATAAATAAAACATTAATACAAAACCATTAGTTTTAACCTGGTTTCAAATCAATTTTTCTACACAATTCTAAACTTTTTTTTTTCTATAAACTTTTTTTTTTTTTTGTGTGTTTGTGATGTTTTTCGTTTTTGTTTCTTTACTTAAAATTTACCTGTGCCACCCCTGGATTAAAATGAAATTAAAAGAATGTATTGCATACAGCCTGTATGTATAAAGAGAAAATAAATTTCTAAATGCACAATGGGGCATACAAAAACTGGAAAAAGTCTTGTAAAAAACAGTAGATAAAATCAAAAGCAGGAAAACAAGATATGTCGGTGTTTATTTCAATGAGATTCCTTGGCCGGACTTAGTATTCTCCCTGCTAGTTGGTAGGCGGCACAGAGGTCCCATGCAATTAACTTCTACCTGCATGACTGGCTGGTTGAACAGCTTCTCTCTCTCTCTCTCTCTCTCTCTCTCTCCCTTTTTCATTTATTTCTTTATTATTTTCTTCCTCTTCGCTCAAGTGGGTTGCTGCTTTGAACCCACTCAACTTCAAAGACTTTATTTGGACTATTGTCCTCATCTTTGTTGTTGTTATCATAAATTGTATTCTCCATAGGTGTATATCAATCTGGGTAATCTACAGGGAATTCTGAACTGAACCCTTTCTTCAATCTACTGGGTAGGCTGTTCTCATTCCACTTTTCATGTCTGGGGATATATCTCGCCTAGTTCTTATTTTATCTAGTACAGTTCTGTTATTGTTTGCCTATTTCCACTGAGTCCAAGTACGCACTGCCCGAACCAGGAACGGAACTCACAAACACTGTGTCACCAAATTCACAAACTTTTATCCACCATAAATACACTAGTTATAAACTTAGATCTTTAAACTTAAGGCTTGCCGTCATTTGTCTTTTTTTTTTTTTATTAGTGGCTCCCATATTGTATTTATTTTTATGCTATGCCTCATAGCCTAGCATATGTGCCAATTCTTTCATAATAATAATCCATGAAAAGGTTAAAGGCCGATGCTTGGGATAATCCATGAAAAGGTTTAAATATCCTCAAATAATCTAGTAAGAAGTTAAAATACAATATAAAACCTGGATATTTCTGAAGATAATGAGATTTAAATTTATGCTTTTCAAAAATCTAAGCTCATTGACAATCAACAAAAACAAGACAATTATGTCTTGTTTTTGTTTTTCTTGTATAAAAAAAATTGTTTTTTGAAAGATAAAAAAAAAAATTGTAAGTTGTTTTGTGTTTACAAATTATTTTTCACTTTCAAAAAGTTGATAATGTTTTCAAAATCTATTTTCTTGACTTTTTATTGAGGTTATAACCACTGCAAATACGCCAGAGGAAAGAAAATATATAACGTCTAATCTTCCAGCTGTAGGTGAGGAAGTTTTCCTTTCTTTTTTTTCAATTTTGATATTGGAAAATTTCTAAGATGTAATTGCTGCAAAATAAATCACATAATACTCAAAGAATCTATTTTCTGTAAAAAAAAAAAAAAAAAAGCAAAATATTACAATTTCATTGGATCTATAATTCAATTTTGATTAAATATGTGTTATGTCAATTTTTTTTATTTAAAGAGAGCAAGTAACTAGAGTTTTTAAGACCAAATCCGTAAGCTAAAATTATACCCTGTATAAATGTTTTACTGGATTGGAATCTCTGCATTAAAGACTGTTCATTTCTTAGCTTGAAATATGAAAAATGTACTATTTAAAATTTATTATTTGCTAAATAACTGACAATATAGAAAAACTTCTTATTGACACATTTCATTATGAGAAAGGACTTCTTCAGAAAATTAATGAAATCAGTCTTATATAAAAAGTGGTGGGGGGGGGGAATAAATGAGAAATACAGAAGTTTGCAGTAGAATTAGGTGGTTTCGAAATTTTTGTTTCAGTATTGATTTTTGGGGTTTTTTTTTGTTGTTGTTTTTTTTGTTTTTTTTTTTTTCTAAGGAAGCCATTCATTCTCTTGTGTGATGATTATTAGTTATTAGTCAACATTTAATTGCATTATGCTACTATTTCAATAATAATCGGGTCAACTTTGTGACACAGTCAATTATATATGATGCTATGAATCATAAGTTTTAAGGAGTTGGCTGTTGAAATCAAACTTCTATGATTTATTTGAATCGGTTAACTCTTTAAAACAGTGACTAGAGATTCATGAAAGATCTCTGAATTCTATCTAATTCTTTAATTTCTCTCAGAAACTAAAAAAAAAACAATTCAGAAGTGCATGAAATTAACAACTGTAAAATTTATTTTGACAAAAAAATAATTTAACTGAAATATTGTCAAAAATTATTCAACCAATAGAAAATTTAATTTTGTAAGGAGAGTATGTTTCTCCTCATTGTCTTAGGTTGTGATTGAAGAAAAACACTTTTTCAGTGTGAGTAGGTTTCAGCCTACTTCTCCGGTCACTGATGACAAGTCCAGCTTTGGTGACCGAAGGATTAGTAAAAAAAAAGTAGGGATTATACACCTAAAATCAATCTTTAGGCATTAAAGGTAATTCAGTCAAAGAATTCATGACTTGGATTAAAATTTACTCATTAAACTTTTGAATAAATTGTCAACTATAAATAAATACCATATTTATTAACAATTTTGTAATATACGAAAGAAATTGTCGCATAAATATCTGTTTTGTTTAGTTTGTGTGTCTTTGGATAACACATTTGAGAGAGAAAACAATATAGGTGAGACATCTCTCCAGAAATGACAGTCAGTTTATGAAGTGACTTTTAAAAAGTCAAAAAATAAAAAAAATAAAAATAATTTAAAAAATCTGAAATTGTAATATTTAACATTAAAGCAAAACTGGCAAAAGGCAACTACGTTTTTAAATTTTTACTCACTACTATTTCATTTTGCTGACTTCATTTATTTATTTTTACCACAAGTGTTTTTTTTATTTTGATAACCAATTTTTTTTTTTTTTTTTTTTTTTTTATTTAGATAGCTCTGAAACTGGAAAAAAAATATTTTACAATTTTGAATTGAAACAGATTCCCGACATCATATATTTCCTTTTTTTTTTCTTTTCCACTTGAAAAAAATTTATGCTAAAATGTAAAATAGATTTCTGGCATACAATGTCATATTGTCTGTCGTAGTTTCTTTTTATTTTTCATTTAAAAATATTCAATGCTAAAAATGCAAACAAATAGATTTCTTTCTACACTTATTTTCTAAAAGTCAAATGTTTTTATGTTTTTGTTCAATCTTTCCTCTTGCTAACAGTACAAATGTTGATAAAATTTAATTTTATTCAAATCTGAGAGTCTTTTTCAGCCATGTTTCCTTGTGTATGGTCACTTAGTAGTAATAGCACTATATCTAACAGTTTCAGTTTCTGGTGTGTAGATGAAACCAGAAAAATTGGTTTTTCAGTTAAACCACCCCTCTCTCGTTTACATTGAAACACTAAAGATACAAACATGCTCAGTCTTTAAATTTTAACACAATATTGACTTTGTCTTTTCCATTTAGCTTTTTATCACCTTTAATTTTTGTTTTTAACTATATCACATTGTATTAGCATAAAAGATTTTTTGTGTGACGTGTTTCATCCTTTAAACAAAAAATGTTTCCACTTTGTCATAGATTTCCCTAAAATTGTTCTTGATAGATAAAAATTTTACATATCGTTTTCCCATTGTATTTTGTATGGAAAAGAGTTGTTGTATAATCTTGGATGTAAAATTACTGTATGAGACTCCAAAATAGGTACACTTTCAAATATATGTACATATATATATGGGGCTGACTGGTTAGAATGTTCACATTTTGACCATGAGACGCGGTTTTGCATCTCTCTATGGTCAGTTTGTCAGGAAGGTGATTTCTTGAAGTTATCAGCCTGGATAGGTGATCCCAGCATGCAGCACATTTTTAAAGTGTCTGAAAACCATGCCACATGTTGACCAAAGACTTGTGAGTGAAATTGGGTAGACATAAATGTTATGACAGCTAAAAGTATTTGTAGTTTATGGCTCTTGTGTAAATATGATAGCTTGTAAGTTGGAGTATTTTTTTTTTCTCTTGAGCCCTTTTTTTAACAGGAGTTTTGTATGTTGTCAAGTATATTTTGCAAGGAGAAAATGAAGAAATCTGCAAATACATTGAATGACAAGGACTAAAATGTAATTTAAAAAATTCTTTTTAGCGCAAGTAATAGAATTGAGTTATCGCAACAATATGCTGTCGAGTAGTATAATGGAAGAAACTGGAGGCCTTGGTGTTGATTATATTATAGATAATGGAGGTAAGTGAGGTTTATATTTTTTTTATTTAAATATTTGTTAGTTATCATTTTTGTTATGTGTTAGTTTATCAGAAAATTAAAAGTAATTTGTTGCATGCATTTTTAACATTTTCTACTTGAGAAAATCACCTGTAATCTTTTTAATTTCAAGTGTGTCCACAAATTATGCAGTTTTTTTTTTGTTTTTTTGTTTGTTTTCTTAATTTTCATTGACAGTGCCTGTTTGTGGTTTGTTTCAGGCATTCGTAAGCATTCCTTTTCTCTGCAACTTATTTGAAAGTATAGAATTTTTGGAGGCTAGAATGTTGACAAAATTTCTAAATTTTTTCCTTTATAGAAATGACTTAATCATTTTTAGAGTATTAACGCTTTTTTTTTAACTTTTTTATTTTGGTTATTGCATTTTTAACCACAGGATGAAATTGTTTGGAATGAAAGTTTTTTTATGAATAAATTTTGAAAGCAAGTCTTACCTTTTCTGTCATTGCTTTTTTTCTGATATTTAATGCTTCTAAAAATTCTGGGTGTTCTTAAACGTCACTTTATACTTGGATCAGGTGAAATTATTAAAAAAAAAAAAAAAAAAATTGGCATCCCTATTTCTCAAGACATTATATAACAAGGTAATTACAAATGAAAGGATATATCTATAATAATTTAAATGAACTGTTTGAAGACCCCACATAACTAATGCTGTGGAAATTCCAAACAAACGTCAAAATACCGCATTTGTTCTATGGACCTACTTAAATCACTCAGGAAGTTAAAAAAATATTTCATTGAATCTTCAGAAGATTTGTAAAGACCACAGTTTACAAGGGTCATTTCATACTACCCCATGTAAATTTGGTCAGTCTACCACATGACACATCAATGGTTTTTATTATTTCTTTGATTATTGGTTATGATTAATAGTCGATGCTAAAAAGGGTTTCTTGCATGTTCAAGATTCAAGTCTTTTTTTGATACTTGTGGCCAATTATGAACGCATCAAACTAAACATGGTGGTCCCTCTGAAAATAAAAAAAAATTGCCAGCACCTGGTATAATACAATGTTAAATACTTAACGTACAATCAGTAAAGGAGAGAGAAGTTTGGGTGGATGCTGCTACATTGAGAAAATGTATTTTATTAAAAATAGTTAAGATTAGACTGGAACAAATATTGCATTTTCAAATAATTATATAAATATAAAAGAATTTGATAGTGAAGGCCATTGAAAATAGAATTTAAGTGAGTTATAAAATTATTCAAAAACATTTGGGGAGCCTTAGTCTACCAAACTATGCTAAAATCCATTCCAAAAGAGTGTCGGCATGAAATGACCCACTGAGGTTGATATGCCGTAAAACAAAATAAACAGCCAACCAAATCCTGCTACTGCAAGTGACACAGATGAATGAATAATAGCCTGTTTGAATTTTGCAGTTGTGTTTTCATATCCTGCAATGGCAACATAAGATGACCATGACTGAAATTAAGTCGTGCAGTAAAGGAACCTTGAAAAACAATGCAGTGGAAAGGAAAGTAGTGAATAATGCAATGCATTAAAAGTTAATGATCCAATCAGATTGACTTACTATTGAATAGTGCTGTTAACTCTCATGAAATGCCCAATATTCATGGCATTGTACCAAAACTAAATGTTTCATAAATAATTTTTCCAATTAAAGGTTTCCTTAATTTATATGGATTCTAATGTGTAACATTATCATTTTAACCCTCTGTTTTTTTTGTTTTTTGAATGCCTAGCACCGACATTTGTGGATTTGGAGGATAAAGGTTTTGTAGAAAGCCAGGATCAACCACCATCTTTAAAATGTGAACTAATATCCTGTCTTGGATCCTTTGGCAAATGGGTGACAATACAGTCGGACCTTCAGGTATATTTAGTCTATATATACAAAAGATTTATTGGCAAATTTGGACTTTCATGCCTGCAAAAAAATGAGTTTCAAAAGGACTGTTTTTCCATTGACACTGCTATTATTTTCATTACATTCACTCCTTAGCATTGTTTGTTGTTTTTAAAAATGATGATTATAATTTTAATAAAATTTAAATATATGAAAGTGAATTTATGCATTTTTTTTGTTCTTCAGAATTGACAACAAAAATAAACACTTTATTTATTAGATTGTTTATTGGAATGGTTAGCAAAACATTGGCTAATTGCCAATTGATGCAAACTTTATTAAATGGTAAATAAGGATTTCCTTATAGTTGGTTCACATTTTAATTTAATAAATATTTATAGATTTATGAATAAAAAAACCTTTTCATATTTATTTCTTTAAAAATTGGTAAATGATAAATATTGCATTGCATGAGTTTTAATTGTATTAGTTTTTAGAATGCTGTAAATATAAAATTATTCTTGTAAATAATCTAATAAATAAAAAAAATAAATAGTGTTTAATATTTTCATTGTAAATTCTCAAGAACAAAAAATGTATGAATTCACTTTCATCATACGTTTAGGTTTAATTACAATTCTAATCACCGCTTTTTTAAAAGAATAAACATTGCCGAAGAGTGAAGGTGGTTAAAATAATAGTGGTGTCAATGGAAAAACCATCTTTTGAAATTGTTTCTTGTGGGCATCAAGGTACAAGTCTTCAGTTTTATTCCTTATAAAAAAGAAAACCATTTTCTTTTATATTTGTCTCATTATCTTGATGTAACTACAACTGTACATATTGATTGAAGTAAGGTTTAACCTCTTTTAAAGTATGGAACTATGATAGCTTAATATTATATTCACTATCACAGTGGTGATAATATTAGCCGTTTCCCCTACAAGGAAGCATTTAGTATTCATTGACTGAGCAAGCAGTACTATTTTTGGTTGAAATTTATAAAATCTTTCTCTTAAAACAATTTTTCAGGACTATAGGTTTATCAAGACCACTAGCTGTTATTACTCGTTCCAGTACTGATGGGATGTTTCATTTTTAGCCTTTTTATTTGAAGTAGTTTGAAATATCAGTATCGTGATGCCATTATTTTCTCTTCTAGTCACATGTGCTATCCATTTTAATTGTTACTGTTGTTGACTGTCCTCAAGTGATGTAACTCTAATTGAAAATACTATGATCAACATAAGGCATTGCAACCAAACAAATGAAATTGTAAATGTTCAAAAATGGTCAAGTTTGGTCTCCAGAAATTCACTCAGCCAGCAGTTAATTTCTGTTAAATCCATATTCTTTGCTAATACTAAAAATTGTATTCCTGGAATGAGGAGTTATCATTATTTACACTCAGACTATTGTCCTCATCTTTGTTGTTGTTATCACAATATTTCAGCCGTTGTGCCCTCCGGCTTTTATCAAGTATATATCAATCTGGATAACAAACTGGACCCTTTATTTAATCTACAGGGATAGACTGTCCTCATTCCATTATCTAAGGATATCTTGTCTAGTTCTTATCTAGTTAAAGGGGCTCTTTGAAAGAGCAAGGATAGATGATATATCATTTCTCAAAAAAGTGGGTTTCTACCAAAAAATATAAACCTAACAGTTAAGAAAATGTATATCTAAACCAGCCAAAATTGTTGATATCATAAAATTGCAAAAAAAAAATATATATAATATATATATCTATATCTATATATATATATATATATATATATATATATATATGTAAATAAATAGTTGATACCATATGACTGAGGCAAAAAAAAACAATTTTATGAAATGTAAAACAGTTTCGGCTTTAAATGACCCATGAGGGGTTGATAAGTCGTAAAACAACCAACCATTTTCATTTAGTACTTCATTATATCTCACTCTGTTTCCACAAACTCCAAGTACACACTACCCAACCTAGGGATTGAACTCTCAATTACTGTCACTAAATTTATGAATCAACTAGGCTATTGTCCTGTAGGACAATTCTCTGTAGAGAGCTTGGAGCCTTAAACCTAACCTGTCTGCTTATGACTGCCATGCTTGACTTCACTCACTGAATTTTTTTCATTTTGTTACAGCAGACTTGACATTTTTTTTCTTTCTTTATTAGCGGCTCCCATATATTTTTTTCTATAAATTATAAAAATTACTGTATGTACTCATTTATCATGCAACTTTTAAAGATCTAATTTTGAAGCTAATTTTAGGTAGGGGAGGTCACATCATACACGTGATATAAAATTAATGTATGTACTGCTGGCTCTGGCTACGCCATTGAACAAACTATCCATTTACTGTAGTCAAAAAGTACAGCTGTATTTAAGCGAAACAGGATTTTGATAAAACTGATGTTTAACTTAACTGTATCCAATAATAATGCATGTAATATTCACATATTAGTATTGTATTATAAAATACAAACCGTGAATATGCATCTTTTCTATTGTTTACGTTTATAAGATGTTTAGCTTTTTCTCGGTCGGTTGTTTATGGCTGTATACATTTGAAAGAGCAAGGATAGCATTACTAACGATACTTTTATCATTCTCTTTTACATTTTTTTAACTTATTTAACTAGAAGATGGGATAAAGAGATAGCAGAAAAGACATTATTCTAACTTGGTCTCAAAAAACAGAATTTACATGATACACATGATAAAATTATTTTTTATAAGCAAAAATTTGGGTGTCACACGATTTGTGAGATCACATATTACATGAGTATACACAGTATGTAAAAATTGTAATTTACAGGTTCATTGCCACATGACATATCTCGTCTTTGATAATAATTTATCCATTTCACAGTTTTATTTTTGGCAGTATAAATTTCTTTGGCTAGATTCAGACATGTCAGGTCATTCTACTAGTGCTTACGGTCAAATCACGCTGAAACACCGGTTCTCGTTCGATCACCGAAGTTAAGCATCGTAGAGCCAGGTCAGTACTTAGATGGGGGACCGCTTGGGAACACCTGGTACTGTAAGCCCCCAAAGTCCAACCCTTACCTCACAGTCGGGGGGGGGGGGTGTAAACGGTAGTGTCAGAGCTATGCCGCCGGAACTTCGTTCCTGGTAGGGCCACCCAAGGCAGACAGGTCTGACACACACGCCGGCTAACAAGGGCTTTGGTGAAAATCCAAGGAGCATCTGCATCGGTAACCGGCGGCTTCTGGTCGTTCCTGTCTCTGCGTCTGTGGGAACCCCGCAGCAAGCAAGAACGTTATCCGAGTAGGCCTGGGTACCCTACTTCTGTAATTTATCCCAAAAATCTTCTTCTCATAACAGGAAGAAGCCGGCTCAATCCGCCCAGGGTGAATGCCGCATCAGTACAGTACAGTATTCTACTAGTGCTTCCATGTAACACAATACTACCTGGTGCAGGGTTGGGTCATAAGCAATTAAATTGGTTAATCCTCCAACTGTCAATGAGTGGTTGAAATGTTTTGTTAGGACTAAAACAATCAAGCACAGTGGAGTAGACTGAGCTCCACATCTGTATATGCATTTCAGTGTGTGATGACATGGCATCACTGGCTATAGGGCTTCCAAAACTAAAGTCAATGGCCAGGGTGGAAGGTTTCCTTAACGGAACTAATGGCTATGTGTCCATGACCAAGTTTGAGGACATCAGCTGTGGTTTGACCTGGAGATGCATGGGATCTTCTAAGTTCACTTGCCAAGATATATTACACCTGAAGGAATACATCTCTGGCTTTCAACCCAGATATGTGGAGGGAACTGGTGAGGTATACAGCTGTGCAGTGACCCTATGACCACTGCTGGGACTGATGATGATATTCAGATTCTGCCTCGAAGCACTGAGCAGAGGACATGCTTATTTTGTTGTGCTGTCACAAATTTCCAAAACATATTTAAAAAAATATTGAAAGTAATGGTGAACATATGCTTTTGTATAAAGATTTAAAAACATGTTTTAATGGGTCATGAAATAATTTAAAAGATTAGTAATAATATATATTATATAATATTATTATAATATTTTATTTCATATTATATTACATAACATTATATTTTATATTATTATATATTATATTATTGTTGTGGAGTAAATAAAATACATCTGGTAATACAAATGAACTAGGTAAAATGCCTTAAATAAAGAACTCAAAGTGAGTCAGGAGAAATCCATCGGAGTCTAGCAGTTTGCTGCTAGGCTCACAAAAGGCAGAGAGGAACCCAGACAAGGCCATGCCTATGGGCAAAGTCTCAACTGTGGAGGTAGACAAACCCGACCATGTGTATGTGAGGTCTATGAGGGATCATTTGCCTGAGCCTATGGGCTTGGATTCACCCCCACATAAAAATCAGCTTTGTGAGTCCATTGGAGTCAGTCAGAGAGAAGTCTTAGTGATATCATGGCAAGTAATCTACACAAGACATAATATTATAATCACTAGGAGTAAGATATAACATATATATTATAATAATATATATATATATATATATATATATATATAGATATTAGAGTATATTATTATATATTATAATATGTAGTATATATCATAATATATTATTATATAATATAGTATATAGCATATTTTATTATATAATATTATAATATATTAATTGTAAGAACAGATACAAAATCCAAAAGAAAGAAATAGCAACAGCAATTTCTTGTTAAAGTGACAAGGCTTCATCAGGCACTTGTTACAAAATACTGACAAAGAAGAAATTGTCTGCTTAAATACAGCTCCAGTGGTGGACTACTTTTAACTAGCAGGGTTGCCAAGCCATCTGCTGCTGATTGACTTCTATGTCAATCTAACAAACTGGTCTTTTTTTTTTCCCCTCTTTTGAAGCTTCAATGAAATGGTCATAAAATAATTTAAAACATTAGTAATAATATATTGTATATTATTCTATATAATATAGTAATAATATTCCAGCCCCAAAGAAAATATTAAAAAGGAGGAAAAAAAAAAGAAAGAAAAAAAAGTTAATTGTATTGCAGTTAGCTTTCATTTTGATTATTCTTTTTTTTACCTTTCAGCTTGATCCTCCAGATTCTCATGAATTATTTCTTCGGAGTGGCACTATATGTTTCTTATTTGATTCACTCTGGACATTATCATATTCACAACATGGCCGATATAGACATATCCTTTTATTAAGCAAATTTTCTTTTGCTTTGCTTTTCTTTTTTAATTTGCTGTCCTTGTACAATCACTGAAGTTGAAACACTGGTTCTTGTAGGATCACTGAAGTTAAGCAATGCCAACCGTGTTCAGTACCTAGATGGGTGATTGCTTTGGAATACCATGTGCAGTTGATGTAATGGATAATGGCTTGAAATTGAAAATCAGAGAGCTGACTTCCAATTCCCATTGGGTTTGTTATATTCATTTACATGCAAATAGCCTTGAGAAAGGTATGAATCCACCTCTTCTCCCCTCAGCTATGGGTTAATTAGTATGACTTGGATTAGTAAATCATTATCTCCAAAATATTTGCAATCTAAAAATATTTTCTGGCTTTGAATATCCTACAAAAGTTTGATAAGCCATATAAAACAAATTAATCACATTAACAAATAGTGTTTTTACAACGGAACTTATCCATCATTGCTACTTTTAATGCACAATTTTAACCATTCTATTCTGTGAGAAAAAAGTTGCTTCTCTTTGAGGAGGTTTACCTTCTTTTTTTTTTGTCATGGAACACACCTTTTGATGGCTGAAGAATGGATTGATGTAAATCAACATTGTTGTTAACAACAGCAAGTGTAAAAAGAAGTGCTTCTGTCAACCTAACAGAATTTGGTATATTAATCTTTAAATGGTAAGAAAAGTTGTATGAGCATAAGTTCCAGAGCAGGTGGAGAAGAGTGAGAGAAAAAAAAATTATCACACACACACACACACACATATATATATATATATATATATATATAATATATATATATATTGTTATTTTAAATTGTTATTTTTAATTTATTTTGTTTAAACATTATCTTTGTCTACTCATATTTGAGTAGAAGCACTGATTTTTAATTAAACAGTATTTTTTTATCCAATTACATCTGACCTGAATATTCAAGAAAGCTTGTCAGAAAAACATGTCCTCCGGTTGGATTCAAACTTGCATCCCCTATAAGAAAATGTCATTGGATTTGACCACTAAACCACATAGGACTTCTGCTCAAACAAAGCCCAAATAGTGCCTTTTTGACCACACACTCTCTGCCTTTTCTTGAAACATCCATATCTGTGCGGTGTTATACCCTAACCTAAACAAAGACTGTTTCTAAGAAATGGATTAAATCCGACATTATTTTTAGTTTATTTTGTTTAAACATTATTTTTTCCCTGAAGTTTTCTTTTTAAGTTCTCTCACATTAAATGTCTTGATGGTAAAATTTGTGTAAATGCTTTCAGTTGTTATAAAGTTTTAAATGAGAAGTTGCCAAATTTTAACGGTTGCCTGCCAAAAAAATCGTACAATTATAATCAAGGCGATCTTTTGTCAAAGGGAGATAACCGAGAAACATTGTTGGATTTTGAGCAAACTTTTGCAGATTTTGTTGAATTTTTTTTAATATTTTTATATTGAAATTATTTCATTTAAAAAAATGTGATAAATTATTTTAATTTTTCTTAGCCTCCTGTTCATGTAAGAAAATTGCCTTTTTGAATGCTGTTCATTAAATTTCCCGTTTTTTAAATGTAATTTGAAGAGTTTATTTCCTTAATTATATGTACATATTTTATGTGATGCTGTTGACAAACTGGATCGAGGATTGTTAAAGTAAGCATTTTTATCTTTTTAATATTATTTCTAAGCATTTAAATAGTAAATTTGTTTAAAAATTCTGTACAATGACCGATTTTGAATTTAATGATTAAGTTTTTTTGAACTCAGCACTGACATCATAGCTTTTTTTTTTACCATTGTACTCTTCAGTCTTTATAAACCAATCCAAATTGTAGCTGATAACTTTAATTCCCCTCTAGACACTCCAACGGTGAACAGTCAGTTAACATTTGTAATTTTCTGGTCAACTGATTTAGAACAAAAGGAATTGTTCAGTTATAAATTATTTTACAAATCCCAATGCATGTATTAGCCTGAGTAAAAAAAAAAAAAAAAAAATTTTATTCAGGCTAATATTCATTACAACTGCTAAGGCTGCTGCTTTACTGTCATTCTAGACAATTCTTCTTGCTTAAATTCGTGTGTTAAATATTGTTGACACATCTGGTCTGGTGCTTCTGCTTTCTATCTAGAAATTCTTGATAAAATACAAAGAATCTGCAATGTTATTGGTCCTTAACTAGAATCTCAGCTTCAACCATTTCCCTGCACCTTTTCCATGAATATGGTAATTGTTCTGATGAGCTTTCCTCTTTGATACCACAAAGGCTGCTAGGTATCCTCATTTTACTGTTGAAATTGTTAGTTCATTCTAATGATTTCTTCTCTCACACTTTCACCTGTGGAACTCTCTTCCAGCTTCTTGCTTTCCTGTCAACTACAATCTTCAAAAGTTTAAATGGAATGTCAATCATCATTTTCTCTCTATAAATCTTTTTTTTTTTTTTTTTTTGTTTTTGTCCTCTCCAAGTGTTTTATCTCACGCCCAGTAACATCTTTGGATTTATTGTCTTGCTTGGGGTGAAATGATAAAAAAAAATATAACTCATAGAATGTTTGTTTATTGTAAAAATTAATGGATTCAAATAACATTTAGAACTGATTAAAAATTATTAAATAAAAATAAGAAAAAAGTCTCACTTAATATGATCCAATTTGTTATTTTTCATGAATCGCAGGCTGAAATCCCATCTGATCTTGCTTATTGGAAATACCAAAATTCAAATAAGTACAAAAATTTAAATACCCGGAAAGTGTGATACTGAAATCTAAACCATAAAGAGTACTGAACTATTACATGATATCAGTCCTCCTATATGGCAGTGAATGCTGCACAGTCTCTTAACATATGAAGAAAAGACTTGGAACAACAAAAATGTGGTTCTACAGAAGGATGCTGAGGATACCATGGATTGAACATGACTAATAAGTTTTAAAGAAAATGGAAGCAAAACTTATACTTAATGCCAGGAAGAGACAGTTGAAATTTCTAGGGCACATAATGAAGAAAGAGGTCTTGGAAAATCTGATATTCATAGGATAGATTAATGGCAAAAGGAAAACAATGCATAACCTACTTAGTGAACTTGTAAATAACAAAAAAAATAAAATTTATTAAGACTGACAGGAAGTTGTGGTGAACCATCATTGCTTATGTCCTGAAGGGACACACCACATAGAAAAAGAAATGGTATTTTATCAGATAATAAATACTAAAAGGTTTTTTTTTTTTTTTTTACTTCAATCTACTCATTAACTGGGATGAAATGATTCTTAGTAAAAACAAATTTGTTTATCTGCCTCCAATTATCAAGAAAGGATTATTTCTAGAGATTATGAAGTATTTGATGATTTTGAAGTTGTTCATACTTTGGAATTGAGATGAAAACAATTTTTTGAGAGAGAATGGGGTTAAAAGGTCATGCTGTTGAGGTGAAAAAAAAAAAAAAAAAAAAAGAAACAGTCTAGGGGAAGATTCTACAAGTCAAAATGGAATAACAAAGGTGAGGATACTATTAGGAATTTATTGAAGCAAATTTATTTCTGTGTAATTGGATGTTTTTTTTTTTAGTTTGGTGAAATAAAAAATCAAAAGTTTTCTTGCAAACTTCAATCAATGGCATTTATTGCTTTATGCTTTCCAGTTGTGATCTAATTCTTGACTATTCATCCAGTTCATACTCCTCCTTGTTTTTTCTAACAGGAATAAGGAATAGAGGTTTCGCATTTAGGATTGGGTTTCCAGCCTGTCCCAACGTCTCCACCTGAACTCTGAAATTTTATTCACTAATTAAATCTTGACCTCATCAAGTCTAGAATTAGTTATCATTCCTGCATAGGCTCAAGAACTTCATTTCTTGTCCTTTCTTACACTAATACAAGTCCACACAAAAACCTTGAGTAGTCCTTGTATTGTATGAACAAAAAAAAGTTTCTGGTCTGTTCAAACCACTTGACATTTTGCCAATCTTGTTCAGAGTCTGTATCAACTTTATTTTATATTCAGGTAGAATGCTAGACTTCCAAAGTAGGGTCTAACAAGTGGTCACAAATTTAGATGTGTGTAAATGCATTTTTTTTCTTTAATCCCAGAAGCCTTTGTTCATGGTTTTCAGCCTAGAGTAAAAGAATATATCAAGAAAAAGTACCTGAGCGGCCTCTTGAATAAAATCAAGTTTTCTTTCAGGTGTTCATGAATTTCATTTAAATCATTTGCTTTATAATATACCATCCATTCACGAGGGCCTGTCAAATCAAATATTTTCATTTGTGTGACTACAAAGAAATTGTATATTAGGTTGCTATAAATTTTATCATTGACCCAATATTTTTCTTACTTATTAATTTCTTTACATTCCTTTATTTTGGCTTCTTTCTTTCTTGACAGCCTCACCTATAATTATTTTATTTTTGCTTATTTCAATTTGTTTTTTTTTTTTTGACAGGTAGCTTTATCAGAGTATAACTGTTTTTTGTGTGTGTAAGATAAAGGTCCCAATTAAATATTTCATGTAAATGATTTTTTTGTTGACTTGTAAAATCCTACCTAGCCTAGATCAATTGTATTACAAATTTTGGAATTTGATGCAAGATTTTTTTTTAAATTGTTTTTTATCATTTGTAGACCCAAGATGCCAAAAACCATTGGAATTAATGATGTTGCTGAAGCCATGCAAATAATTTCTGAATCTACGACAGGGAAGGTTATTGTTCAATTCTGAGACAATGTGGGATTGTAAATAAATTTTCAATAAATTTTTACAACAAAATTATTGCATGTTTTTGGTTATTTACTAACATAACCAAGTTTGATTCCAGTTCTTGTTTACTGTGACCCATTCTAAGTGATTTTCTTTCAAATCTTCTAGATTGGAAGGACAGCAAGAACTTGCCTCATCTATTACAAAGATGCCAGATAATTTTCTTGTTTATTATTTAGAATTCCTGCCCAATTTTCATATTGCTGGAAATCTACTTAGACTTGTTCTTGTGATTTTTTTTTTTTTCTGTACTAAGTAAAGATTCTGGTACAACTTCATTCTCCAACCTTTCCACTCATTGAGTAAACAATTCAAATAAAGATGTAAAGTTTTATTTCTATACAGTATGTCAGTAATATACTACGAAAGTACAATTCCTTACAGTAGTAAAGATTTATACAGATTGCTTAATCATGTTGGTGTAGGTCCTGATTTTAGAAGCCATGGACATGTCAACATATTTGTCTCCAATATTTACCAGCATACCACCAATGATACTTGGATCAACCTGTGGGGGGGAAAAAAAAAAATTAAAGAAAGTAGAGTTTGTATAAAGAGCAGATAATTTGTTTTCTGCCACAAAAATAACGGCATAAAAAAAATATATTTTTCAACAATTGGAAATGTCAAATCAATTGACTGGAATTTACCGAGAAGAAAAAACAAACTTAATAAATCAAGAAATGGTTTACCTTCAATTCTAATTGCAGAGTTTCATTCTTTTTCAAAAACAACTGCAGGGTACTTTTCAGGTCTTTCAAAGTAACATTATCAAGTGGCTGTTAAAAAAAGAAGTAGGTAAATAAAAATATTAAAGTAGCTCAGTTTAAAAGCTAATACAATTATGTTTTCTAAAAATGAAATAGTACAAATATATAAATCAAGCAAACAATATTGTAAGATTTATAAAGAATTTGTCTCCCTGAATAATTTTCAATGTTAAACAGGAGCGTGCTTTAGGTAGAGAAAAAACTAAGTAATAAAATGGACGATCTCTTTATACAAAATTTGCTTCTAAAATAGGGTTATTTGGAAGATTTTACTCAGATATTTGATTTCAATAAAAAATATTTTTAATTTTTTAAGCCACAAGTCTACATGAAAATATTAAAACCAGAAGCTAATCAAAATTCACCGAAGGTGAATTTTTATATAAATTCGTTAAGATTTACCTTAGCTGTAGTAACAGTACAGAAAACTTCTCCTCTGTGAGCACTCATGATCTTCTCAAAAGCAGTGATGACACCTGACAATTTTTGGATTCGGCCATTCTCAGAGAGTGCACCTGTAATTAAAATAAATAAATCATCTAATTGGCAGAAAAAAAAAAGTTTCTTTAAAATGTTTGCTGATTGTACATGTAAATTACAAATTGTCCCTCTGGATCAGAATTGTGTTTTTAATTTTGATGATCACTGAAGAGAATTAGATAAATTTCAGTTTTGACTGATTAATTTTTGCATATGAATAAAATTAAAATCTCCTAAGCAAAGAAATAAACATGACTAAATATCCCCACTAAAAAAAAAAAAATTAGGTTTGTGTATCGCCCAGTTCACACTTCTCTCCAGTCTTTTGAACAGTTTATCTCTTGCTTTCTGTTTAGAATTGGTTTTCTGGTTCCTAATTCTCTTTCACACCCAGTAGCCCTTTGCATTTTAGTGGCATTACCACCTTTGCTTGGAATGAATTCATAAAAGCAAATAACACATGCTAGAATGCATGCAACTTTTAGAGTGATTTAATAAACAATATTTTCAACTTGTAATATTCAGATGTTAAAGTAATACACCATCTAGATATTTAAGATTTTTTTGCCTTTAACTGGGTTTCCTCTCCAAAGATGATCATATTCCTGATTGCAAATCTCTATACCTTTTATTTACATCTAAGTGTATGTCTTAGATGTAAATGACTAAAGTGAATTTATTGTGATTCGATTTTGTATATAATCAAGTTTTTTGTCATGGCAAAAAAACTATTTTAGGAACAGAATAAAATCAAAAATGCAAAATATCACAAAACAATTTATACTCTTAATGCAGAGGAAAAAAATTGAAAAAATACAAAACTCAATCCATAATAATTACTAGACAACTTCATGTGTTGTGCAACCCCTAAATTTTTTCATGAATTTTAATCCCTCTTGAAGAAAAAAAAAATGTACTTGTGTAAATGCATGGTTTTTAAACACTTCATTAAATTTACCTATGTATAGTGCAACCCCATTTTCTCTGTAAGTAAATGGTCATAAAAACTCATTATATTCAAGCATATAGAGACTAAAGCTTAAAACACCAAAATGCAGAGAAAAACAATGCAAATACTTCTAGTTTATGAGAGGTGGTTTGTATAATTATGTGAAACATGATAACATTGATTCAAGAAATCATGTAATATTTTCTTTAAGAAGGAATCTTTTTAAATATAAATCAAGTAAAATCTTGACCCGTAATCACCAAATGTCAATTTTAGCTATAAACTTGGGCAGATTCTTCTAGCAACAAATAATATATCAAATGCTTTCCTGATGGTAAATATGAACAGTAATTGACTGTTCATTAATATTTTTAACATTCAAATTGTTTATCATTCAATAATTTAAATGTAAGGTAAATGTTAGAAAAGGTAAAAGTTTACAATCAGTGGATAGTGGAAGTGAATGGAAAGTGTTGGAATAGTTTATTAGAGAAAGAATTTTTCACTTTGATTTCATTCAAATTTGACACAGTTACATTGTTAGACTGTCCTGATCCTATAATTACATCATTTAACTGAAAATAAAGTTGAAGGTAGATTTGGACCCTTAATGCAGAAAAAAAAATAGCAGAAGTAACATGGATTGTACCTAATTATTATTGTCAACAGACAAATCTGATTTTTTTTTCTTTTAAAATTTTAATTCAAAAAAGACAAAAGATTGCACTTACCGAACAGGTTTGCAACCAAAGGAGAATAATTCATTTTCTTTGCAAGTTCACCCAAAACAACTGAAAAGAAAATAAATATTATTTCAAATAATCCCTATTTTTTAACTAAGTGCATACATTAAATCCAAAACAATTTACTTAAAAATTAACTGATGTTTATTTTTTTTTAATTTTTTGTTAGTATATTTACGTCTGATTTTGGAGGGAGAAATGGTATGATTATCTTGGAATTGGCATCATCTATGGATGGCAGATAAAAATAGTGATTCCTGTTGCTAAGTTGATTTTGTTTCCTGGAATTGGTTGTTCAATCCCTGAGCTATCGTTTGATTGATTTGTTTTCTATAACGTATCAACTCTTTGCAGATTATTTAAAGCCGGGAAATATTTTTACACTTTAAGAATTTTTTTTTTTAACCCATAACTAGTGGAGGGGGAGAAGAGGCGAATTTATACCTTTTGCAAGCTGCATGTAAGTGAATATAATGAACTCAACTGGAATTGGAACTCGGCTCCCCAATTAACACTTCTTAGCGATTATCCATTACCTGCATATAGCAGCTGGTATTCTCAAGCAGTCACCCATCTTGGTACTGAAAAGGCTTGATGTTGCTCAACAGATTAAATAGGCTAGACAGATTAACTCAACAGAAGAGTAAAGATGAAAGATTTGTAGAAAGGAGTTCAAATCAGACATTACAAAAGTAAAGGATTCAAACATCCTATGTCATTGGCCCAAATAAACTGTTCTCAGAAAATTGACCTGGGGGTTACAAGATGCCATACACCAGGGGAGAAAAGAGAAGCCAAAAAATAAAAATGATAGGCTAAAGTCCAAAGATTAAGTACCGAATTTTGATTTACTCTAAGTATTAAATTATTTCTTTACGCTTCCCTTAATGGGAATATTTTAACTCATTATTTTAAAAATAATTTAATGATTAAAATAACCAAGTTATTTAATAAAATTGAAACATTGTTTTTGCATAACTTTTAAGTTTTATATATACAAGAATCCAGTTTACCCTGCATCTGCGAGAACAATAAACAAATCACAAGGCCAAACACTTCAAAAAGTTGTAATTTGGCCCCAGAAAGAAATATTTACACAAGGCCAGTTGTATGCTGTATGCTCAAGAGTAAGAAATCCTAAGAATTTATTCTTTGTTGTTAAAAAGAAGAAAGAAATTTTTGTTAAAAAATATTACTATGAAGCCCTGTAAGATTAAATTAGATTAAAAAAATTATTAAACTGCAAAGTAGAGTTTTGTCAAAGTATTTTTCTAAACAAATTAGTTTATTCAAATTTTATTGATTTGTTTGTGAAATTTACTGAAATGTAGTTTGTAAATCTCGCCAAAAATTGGTAACGATAACTTCAATTATACTAGATACTGTGAGGATTTCAACATGAATCAGCGTGTTGCAAAAGAAATTCTATTTCTTGAAATTATACAGTTTGATTGTACCAATATTGACAGATTAAAAAAAAATCTAGAGTTCTCATCACTTCTCAGATGAAAATTATAAAAAGATTTTTGAGTATGTGAATAGAAAAGAACAGCAGTCATGATCTAACCTTGTTTCTGTTGGCGTTTAAGAGATGGATTTTCAATGAATCCATTAAGAGCTGTATCTTTTGCCATCAAATCCTGCCAAAGAATTAAAAAAAAAAAAAAAAAAATAAGCTTTACCATCATATAAATTTTTCATGTTTATATAAAAACAGAAACAGAATGTGTCTCCCATCAGATAAAATAATGCTTGTTACAATCCCATTCAACTGAATTAAACATGTACATGAAAATATTAGTTTGCAGGTTATTAGCTTAACTCCTAAACTTGAATATTTCAAACAGTTCAAAGGGTACTCTACATGGTGCAATGGTTAGCAAGTTTGTCTTGTTAAATCTATTGTGATTGAATAGTGAGTTCAATCCTTGCCGAGTGCCTCACCATTTCAGAAAGTTTCACATGATAACCATGCACATATATGCTTGGAATCACCTGCTGTGGGTATGCAAACACACACATGGAAGATATGATATCCAAATCAATAGATAGACTAATAGTATGTAACTGGATGACGAAAAAAAAACAAAACAAATAAAACCACTACATAATGCATTTCATCTTTAGCAGAGACCTGTTCAGACTAATTGTAGTTATATTAACGGAGTTAATCTCATACATACGTACAATATGATAAAATATAGTTTATTTATGCTCTATTATAGGTTAAAGTGCTCAATATCAGGAATAGAGCTTATGTAAATATAAAAGTTGAAGTCAATGTCCACCCAGCAGCAACAGTCTGTTTCATGCTCAAACAATTGTCCTGATGATTGCATATAAGCATGAAACAGACTGTCGCTGTTGACTTAAGGAGCAAACAACCAACACTAAATAAGGCTAGTTATGAGTATAGCAACATTTTAAAGTGTTTATAACAGCAGTGTTTTTTTTAAAATGTTTAAAATTATAATTATACAAATTAATGTTACCTCCATTAAATCAAAAACAAGGAAAAAATGTCATAGCTTTAAGAGATAATTTTAAATTAATTATAACAGAATGCGTTCATGTGTGTTTAAAATAATTATAGCAAAGCACATTTCATGCGTACTTACAAAATAAAAAAATCATAACTATGAGTTACATTAACTTTATGTCTTAGCTATTCACCCCTGAAGATGATCTTGAATGAGATTGAGATTACTTGGAGAAAATGAAAATAAAAGAAAAAAACTATGGTGCCTTCGTTAATGAATTTAATATCAACATTAAGAAGTTGATTAGAAAATTGTAAAGGATTAAAATAAAATAAATAGACAGAATATAACCAGATTATTTAACCAAATGTGCTTGAATGTATGTATGTATGTATGCATGCAGTGGCTTTGATACAAAAAAAAAAAAAAGTGAGGAACATCATACAGCATATTTTTTTTCCTGACAAAACTACTGCTTTCACAATATGGCATATTTTTAAAAACAAAACATAAAATTCTGACCTCATTCAGCTAGGTCTTGTATGCAGATATACCAGATGTTAAAAATTTTTAAATTTAAGGCTAAGCAACCTTCTTCAGCAGTGTATTATATATATATAAAATGACTCCAATGATAAAAAAAAAACCCAAAAAACATTAGTCTGAAGTCCCTACTATACAGGAATGTGTAATGTAGTTTGTTTTTTTCCCCACCCTTTTGTCATTCAGTTACACACACACTTCCATATAAAATTTTGTAATAATAAATCAATCTAAAAGAAAAATAAAAACACACTAAATAATATAGAAGAAAAAGATTTTTAAAAGTTGGTACCTTGAAAGCAACAAGGTCCTTCTGGACAGCTTCCAACTTATTTTGTTTTGAGGCTGCAGAATAAAGGGCAGTTGCATAGCGACCCTCAATGCCAAAAACCAGGACAGGAGGCTGGAAAAAAAACACACACACACACAAGTGTTGTAATATTTTTTATCTTGCATATGTAGTCACAAAGGAAGGCAAACAAAAGAACATCAAGAAAAAATTTATTGCTCTAATGGTAATGTCAGACAGGTACAAGAAATGCAACACTAAAAAAAAAAAAAAAAAAATTCTCAGACAGAATTTAGCAAAAACATTTCATTTTTTTCACCCCCTCTCTTCTATTTTTTGGGTGTGGGGAGAGAACCATGACCATGTGAACATTTGTTAAGTGTTCCGAAGGTAGTGAAGGCAGATTGGTGGGGAAGGATATCAGGAGCTAATAGAAAGAGGTGGTGAGAGGGGAATGAGGGGAAAGTAGAGAGAGAAGAATTTCAGAAGCCTTGTTTATTATCAAACAACCAGTAGTTACGGAATTACTGCAGGGTGGTGGGGGCTTTTTGTAAACCTCCAGTCCTTCTGCCAGGGCTGTGGAATAAGTTCCAGAAGTATCCTTCCCCTACCAGCCAAGACAACATGGAGGAAGAACACATGTATAAGTTCACCGTACAGTGACAACAGATGCAGCTTTTTATAAGATACCTTTTTATTTTAATATGAAATAAATGTATTTTTTATGAAATACGTTTTAATTTCCTATAGTGGTAATTGATAAGTAACCACAAATTATTTTAGATTCTTGGTGAAAATACTGAAAAAATATAACCAAATGGTAATGATAAAGCTCCTATTCTTTCCACTGTGTGGCGACTATAATGAAATTAGTAATTTCACTGTTATGGTGTTAATACAAACAGCCTTTTTTATATGCCAACATTCAACAAGAAATCATTTGCTTTTAATGAATCCCTACCCACAAAAATCTCAAATTAAAGCAAGAAAGTAGTTATGTATCTGGCAATGACTTTTCCAATTAATGGAACATTGAAGTACATGGTTACCAGTTACTCAGTCAAGAAATGTTTCCAAAGTACAAGAGTGCTGACATTAGAACTTCAGATATGTCAAAACATTTCAATTAAGTAAAAAAAAAAAAAAAAAAAAAAAAATAATAAAAAGTGCTCAAATTAAGAAAATAGTTGGCCAAAGAATTCATATTAAACCTTGTATTGATTGGAACAATTTTAAACCATTTTTAGAGCAATTGACAAGTGGGGAAATAGTTGATTGTTTTTATGGCTTAACCCATTGTGGTTTAAGCTCATGATCTAAAATGGAATATCCCATTATTCATGAGGTATTGCCAAGTGTAACATACATGCTAACTAAGGATTGATTGATTTGTTTTTATGGTTTATCAACCCTCTGTTGACTAAATGAAGCCTAAACATTTTGAGTGGTAAGAATAATTGCATTAACAATTTTTTGAGAATAACAAGGATTTTTCCAGATACAAGTCCCACTATTTAACCTATAGCTGAAAGGAATAGAGATGGATTCATAACCTTTCCCAAGGGCATTTGCACATAAGTGAGTGTAAACAAGTGGGGAAAAATCCTTGATAAATGAGTTCCATTTTAATTGAATTAGGAGCAAGCAGAAATCTAAGTAAGCTGGCATCAATGGCATGTTCAGACTCTGGAAAGCAATTTACTTATGGCTGGTTTTATCACATGTAGGAGGTGGGTGGCAAGAAGAATTTGCATGACAACAGTTCAATAGAGATGCAAAGCTGAAAAACATGTCATCATGTCTGGAACATTATTCTCAACATTTTGTAGAAGTGAAAAGGGGTTTTTTTTTGGGGGGGGGGGAGCCCAGACAATCATTTTTCTGTACAAATACATGTTTTCATGTTGCAAATATTTTGAATCAGATAAAAACACATTTTTCTTCAAGTAACATCATTTTTTTCTCTTTTTTTTCATAAAACCCAAACATATGAAACAGAGTTCATGCAATTTTTGAGAATTGTCAAAAATATTTAACACTATTTATTCATTAGTGTATGTACTTACATGAAAAATGTTATATTTAAAACATTAGAAAAATGATACAACTATGATACAATGTTTATCATTGACTATATTATATAGAATTAACCCCCAAAACATTTTTTATTCAAAAACTTCTAAAAATGTGTTGAGCAAGCAAGAAAATTTAAACACAATAAGTAATTGAAAAAAAAAAAAAAAAAAAAATAGGTTGCGAGCATTGAGATATTAGCCAAACATGCCTTAATAAATGCAGTCCGAGCAGAAAATGATTAATTATTACTTAACTAGTAAATTCATTAAAGGTTAAAATAAAAAGAATACATACTTTCACAAGTTTGTTTCTGATAGATGAAGTGCTAAACTGCCTCACCTGTAAGAAAATAAAAATAAAGTCATTACAAATTACTAACTATGAAAAAAATTCTCGCAAAAATCAAATAATTGTTGGATTTTAATGAAACTTTCAGAACTTATTCACAAATGAATGCAATTATTTCAGACATTTTTTTTTGAAAGTCATCATAAAAATTCTTTACTTTTTTTCTTTTTGTTTTTACATCTTTTTTTTTAATTTCAATTTTAGGGATAGAAACAAAACTATTAAAAATAAGGAAAATTAAAAATTAACACATTAAAAAAAAAAAAAAATACTTCATAAAAATCAGAGAAGTACCTTTAATTAGTATCTTATGAAATTTTATGGTATTATTTTTAATTATATTGTTGTGAAATTTTTAAAAACAGATATAAAAAATTAATAACTACAAATAATACCATAAAATTTCATAAGCGATCTACATAAAAATTAGGTACCTCTCTTAATTCTAAAAAAATTAATAATAAAAAAAACATTGGCGTTCAGTTAGACGATAAAAAAAATTTTCATCATGGTATGCCCTTTTTAAGAAAATTAGTGGTGATATACCTACACCCATTTCTCACTTAAGAAGAAAAGGTGACTACGGCGAGATTTGAAATCAGGTTTCATAGTCAGCCATGCAAAATCGAATACAGCCGAGTTAACTTCAATTACATTGAATTTTGTTTCTTTTTTTTTTTTTATACACGAAAAAAATGTATATATGCAATAAGGAAGGTCATTCAATGCATTTGGTATGCCAAAAACGTTTGCTTCAGATACTAAAATTGAAGATATGCATCAGCTTCAGCTGCCTTTTGGCCTGGATCAAAGCGTAGTGAGAAGGCGCGCGCTTTCGGTAATTCCAAACGTTGCGGCACCATCTTCCTCATTGCCCTGAGAGAGGTGAGGTTGTCGTAATAACGACTCCAGCGTGACGATATTCAGTCACCCCCACCCCACGAGAGCGTCATGTGGCACAAGGCCTTTTTAACGTGGGATCTCCGAGCCCGTGGTCTCGGCCAAAAATATGCCCATTGAACCCGTATAAACCGGTTCAGGGTCGGTTTACCTCCCCGAAAGAGAATCCGTCCTTCGGCGTAGCCTCCTTCGGGTTCCTCCCCGCCCCAAAGCAGAGAGTTCAACCGATCAGCCGGTCAAGACTTGAACGACTGAGGTGAGGTTGTCGTAATAACGACGCCAGCGTGACTGGTCAAGGAGTCTGGACAATTTTTGTCTCTGACTCACTCTCAATGAGAGTGAGCCAAAGACAAAAATGAGAGTCTCATGCGCAATCGCATGGGCACCTCAAAAAGATGTTGATCACATTCTGCGCCTGTGGAGAGGTCAGATGATAAATATAGACTTTTTTAAAAATATACAACTTATTGTTGTTACTATCAAAAAGTGTCAATCGATGTCATGGTGGGTGACAACATGGATGGCTGAATACCTCCGAAAAATACAAGATTTATTTTATAGTCGAAGTAAAATTTCATTTAAAATTAGTTAATTTTTAGGAAAGTCAAGTTTCTGTTTACAAGTAATTCAAAAGAAAAACCATCAAATTGAATAGCAAGTAATTGCTAAAGACAAACAAAATAATCGGACAAGTCTTCAAAAGGTCAGTTCGATCAAAGTTACTTACATTTCATTTAAATATTTTTTTTAAAATCGGTAAGTATTTAAAAATTTTACGAAGAAAAAACAGGAAGGAAATAAGATCAATAACAACAAAAAACCGTTTTATTTTCAATAAATTAAAAATAGTTTTTTTTTATTTTCATTAGTACTCTGGTTAGGCCGCCTAGGGTAAGATTTTTTTTACTTTTTTTTTTTTTTTACTTTCTTATTGTAATTAAAATTCATTCGTTTCTGTTATTGAATTACATAAGAACATTAAATTTGTATTAATAACGTAATCTTGAATGCTTTCGAACTGAAGAAATATTTTAGATCATATTTTTAAAGTAACTGACGTCGCCACAGTCCTCAGCAGACGAAAAGGATGTTTCAAATGACCTTTTAATACCCTTGATATTAATCACCAAGAAATTGAGGATTAAAAAGGCAATACATCTATCGTTGCGTTAATCTTAAAGGTACAAATAGTTATGTTACAAGTATGTAAAAGTAGAGAAGACAATGTTTAGTATATAAAATGATATTTAAAATATTAAATAAATAAATGGTTAGTTTTAAAAAATAGTGTCAGGAAGCACTATTTGGCGTTGCAATAAGTTTAAAAGGACAACCTAAAAGCTGACACATATAATATAAATTAAACTGCATAAAAATGAAACCAGTAGGGCTAAGATAAAAACTATATAAAATTAAAAAATATATATATAATAAACTTGAAATAAAAATAAATTTAAAACATAGCACTTACAGTCTGGGCAAACCGGGCTGACGCCATGATGCTTACAAGAGAAAACGGAAGTCGATAACTCTTGAGAGAAACAAAAGAGGTAAAAAAAAAAAAAAAATGACAGCACCTTAACGGAAGTTGATAACAGTAGAAAAACACATGTATGGAATACCAACAAGATTTGACTATTTAGCATTTAACTTTTTTAAAAATGTTCAACATATTTTTATTACAAGTGAATATTGTTTATTATTTTATGTTATATAAATTTAAATTAACTGAAACACAATATATATAATCCAGTTCGTTCAATCTGCTGATATATGTATACAAATTTATTGTGTGCGTGTTTTTCCGTAGTTTTTCAGTAGCCACCAACGCTTTATTTATAAGATCTGACCTTGACAGGAAGCAAAAAAAAAAAACATGCCGAGTTATCAATTGTGTTTGGTTTTAAAGTCTGCTTTAAATCGGGTTTGTGCCATTTTATTTATTTATTTATTTTCAATTTTAAATAGGTTTATGAGTTTTTTTGTTTTGTAATATTTATATACTTAATGAAAAATAATTTTAAAAACCTATAAATTACTTGGATTTTTGCTCAAGTTCGTAATTTGCCACTGTTATGATAGTTATTTTTAATTGGCGTGGTGTCCCAAAATTTTATTATGACACTAACATTCTGTCATTTCATATTGTAGGGTTTTTTTTTTTGTCTGTATTTAAATTAAAGATTTTTGCTTAATTACTGTAAAATAAATGAACCTCAGTTTTTATTTTGAAACATACATAATCTTTTCGGCAGTTGTATTATTCTTCAGGCTTCTTCATGTGTCTGTCGGAGTGTCGTATTATTTATTCTTCGGTAGACTTGAGGTTCAAAATTCGTCCTTTATTTGTGGAAAAAAAAAATTTCTTTAGGACCGACCAAAAGAAGTTGGGCTTCTTGAACGATGCATGACCAAACAAAATTTGAAAAATCGTAACGACTCTTTATTTTTGTTTTTCAATTTCTCAGACTTCCACTTCTTGATCAAAAATTGAATTCAGTTTTTAATTTTTGTTTTTTCTTAGATTGAACCAGACGTAGAAAAAGAATTGGAAAAATCTTTCAATTAGCATTTTTAGACTTCCCTTCGACATCAAAATAATAAAAGTATTGATCGATTGATTTTTTTTTTTAATCGATTTATGGGAGTCTTGTTCATAAATGAATGACACTCCGATGTTGCGTAATGGTTAACAAGCTTGTCTTGCTAGATCAATTACAACTGAGTAGTAAATTCGATTCTCACTGGGTTCCCCATAATTTCGGCCTTGTGCCACATCTAAGCTATGCTTAGAAAATCACCATAAAAATGCATAAATATCGATCCCTGGCTTTTTACAGAGTTGTCTGGACTTAATTTGATAATGACAAAAATATCAACTTTAAAACTGCTGCTGCTTCTTCTTACGCCATTGATGATTAATTGCATCTTTTTTTATTTAAATATCTGAATTTTTAAAACTTTTTTTTTTTAAACAACTTTTTTGTTATGTTTTTGGGAAAGACGTGCAAACATTGATAGCTAGTATTATTTACCTTAAATGTAGAATAAACGGATAATTTATGTAAACTTTTTTTTTTTTTAATTAAAAAGTGATCTCCGTTTGTTCTTTAAAAGGAATTTTTTGAAAATAAAAATGTTTTCATACACAAAACAAGGAGTTCAGAACTCTGTAAAAAGTCAGGGATCAATTTTATACTGTGTCAGTGACACACCTTCGCTATCGATAAGTAATCTAATTAGTATTTTCGATTCTAACAAATGTCACACAGCTCTCTACAAATATCATTCCCCGAAAATGTTTTCCCTATTTTTTTTTTTTTTTTTTTTTTACGAGTGGACCAGTAGTGCTCATTTTTTTTTTTTTTACTTACGGAATAATGAAATTCGAACGTCTTTTATTCCGTTTGTTCATTTCGAAAAGAAGGCTTACAATATGACTCTCATTCAAGAGATTTATGCTCGGTGTAAGGGAGGTAAATGTGGTATACAAAAGTCGGCAGTGTTTAACTTTCTTGCACGCAACCCCCTACCCACAAATGTTATTCCCTTAACAACGCTACAGTTTTGACTTCATTGGTAATGTTTTAAAATATTATCAAAATATGTGAACTAAGTATAATACTATATTTTTTATAAACATTTATTTACAATTTTATAAAGAAATAAATTTGAAATTAAATCTTTTCATTCAAATGTTTATTAAAAAAAGAAAAAATATATCAGTATACATAAGAGCCTGTACCTCCACACAGTTTCAACACCTTGGAATAAAATGAAATTTTAGAGATGAAAAATCATTTTCGAAGCTTTCTTTTTAGCTTTAATTGAAAGCTAAATGAGTACATTTACTATTTACCGTAAGTAAAATACTCTGGTGTATTTCAAAAAGAAATTATATTGATTACAATCTTAACTTTTTGCTCACTTTCAGAAATCCTTTAAATTCAGCCATTTTTGATGCATTTCTAAACAAAATTGAATTCTAGGTTTTAAAAATCTTCCAAAAGTAAAATATACTTTTCTAAAACTTAATTAAGAAATATTCAGTAATTTAAAGTATAACTAATCTGATTTAAAAATACTATTATTTACTTGTTTAAGATAACAGAGAAATGGATTTTTAAAACAGTAGCACAATTAAGTGCTTGTCAGCACCTCGTAAATCACTTGACAAGGTGCTGACACTTTTATTATTGTTCTAAAGAGACATTATCTGTTAAAACGTAAATTAAGAAAATGACAGGTGAATACTTTTATATAATTTTTAAGTACTTAGTAACCTTAAAAATATTAAATGTTCTCTATAATCTAATTTTAGGACTGTTGAATTTAAATTTACTATAGTCATCGCACTTATTTTCTGATTATGTTCATACTTTCAAACAGGCACTTTGCATATACATATAAAAATTTTAAAAAATATTGGGTGTAAGAGACTTTTAATGAGCTTTTTATTTTTGATTCATAAATATAGTTTTCACTTAATAGCAATATCACCTAACCAGATTGAAGTAATGCAGAATTTTAAATGATTTATAATATTATAAATTATTATAATTAAAATTTTAAAAACTAAAAACAATTCTTGTAAAAATTCAAAATTTTTTTTTCTTAAGAGAACAGTGTCCTTAATAAATCTTATTTATAAAAACGATTAAAGGCTTTTCTAATTAATGTCATAGTTTTATTGCATTTTTTATTTTACAATTCAGATCAGATTAAGGTAATTGTGTGAATTGTTTCACAAAAAGAAATGAATGATTTGTATTCCCTAGGAAGTCCTGCTTTTAACTAATAAAACAAACTTTGGTATTGAAGTTTAATTTCTCAAAATTTCATAAAATTAAGTAACATATGCAAAAAAAAAAAAAATAATTTCAAAAATAATTTGTCATTCCCGAATTAGTTCTGAAAGTTTCATTATAATCTGAAAATTATTTGATTTTTGCAAGGATTTACAAATCAATGTTTTTCAAGGGAAAAAAAAGGTGCTAAAACATTAATCATAATTATTGTGTCAATTGCTAATGTAAGAAAAACAAGATTTTTAACAAAAATTTCAAACATATTAGAAAGGAGTAAAAAAAAAAAAAAATTTTTTTTAACTGATTAAAAAATACTTTGTTCTTTCCTCTTAATAACAATCATTTTGATGATAAAATTGTTTTTATTGATTTTGGGTCATTTTTTTTTTTTTTTTCATCATGCTATACTGTTTTTCAGTGAATAAGTGGAAGTATCTGCTAGAGATGTGCGGTTTAACCAAAAAAGCGACTTTTTCAGTTTCATCTTTACACAGTGAAACCGCATTGAAATTTTTTACGAAACCGAAATTGTTCTGTTTGTTTAAGTGTTATCTCTACTGAGTGACCATATTGAAAGAAACTGTATTAAAAAGACTGTAAGATGTTAATAAAATTAAATTTTATCAACATTTATAATGTTATTGTAAGAGAAAAAGATTGAACAAAAATATATTAAAAACATTTAATTGACTAGTTTTAGGAAATAAATGTGAAATCTAATTCATTTACAAAAACGAGGAAGAAAAAAGGAAATATCACATGATGCCTGAAATCTTTTGTTTTATTTTTTCAAAAAAAAAAAAAACTTTTGTAGTAAGATATTAATCTTACTACAAAAAAACGTTTTTTTTTTTTTTTTTTTTTTTTTGAACAAAAAATAGCAAGTAAAAATAAAAATAGTTGCTAGTTTCGTCTTAATGTTAAATTTTATGATGTCAGATTTTTTTTTTTAAGGGTTTCCTAGTAAGCCAATCACGAAAAAGTTGTTGTAAACAAGAAAAATGAATGAAGATTTTTTTTTTTTTTTTTTTTTAATAAATAAATTTGTTTTTTTATCTGGAGGTATCTATGTAAGATGTAGAGGTCAACCTATTTTAGTGAATTTATGTTGCGAGAGCAAATGAAAGAAATGCTTAGAAAATAATACTTTTTTTTTTTTTTCAAAATTTATGAAAGCAGAAGCATGTTGAGAATGGACCAAACATATGAGCAATGACCAAAGTTCTAGAGACAATGGCAACAAAAAGGAAACTTGTACTTAACATTGGGAAGAGACAGTTGAAATTTCTAAAACACATAATGAGAAGAGAAAGCTTGGAAAATTTGATACTCACAGAAAAGATTGAAGGCAAGAAGGACAGAATAAAAAAATAATGTATAACCAATCTAAAGATCTTATGTAAATGGTTAACAGCAAAGTTTAGGAGAGATAGCAAAAAGACAAAATTTATTAAGAGTTGTGAAAGACAGGAAGTTATAGAGAGTCATGATCACCAATATCCTAATGGGATATAGCCAAGGCGATCCATATACCAGGCCTTGCAACCATGCAACTGGGGTCCACAATTGAAGGTGAACATGTGGAAGCCTAAATTACTACTAAATAACAATTCCTGAAAACAGTTTTAGCAAGGAACTTGTTAGTAATATCCAGTAAATAGTTAACAACTATTTATAATATTAAGAAGCATCTTACAATTATTGACTTATTTTCATAAATGCAAATGTACAAAAAAAGAAAAAAACCCATAAAATAACTAAATACACCAAAATCACTTTATTCACCCTAAATTAGAAATTTTTAGATAATATTGCAAAAATAATGAGTTCATTTGTTTATGCTAATTTATTACAGAATTTATAATTGTACAATACAATCAGAAATCAATTTCAGCATTTTACAAAATTGTGTACCAACAAAGTCTGAAAATACTTTACAAAAAATGTGAATTTCAGAGAAACAATAAGTTTGATAATCTTTACAAAATTTTTGTTATATATACTCGTGCTGGTTCACAGGCTGGCACTGGTCGACAAACCATCAACTACCAGTATGCGGCCAGTGTCCAGGCCATGTTGAGGAATCATTTGTAAAGATTAAGGTTATATAATTCTTGTTTTTGTCTTAATAAACTAATTTTTTTTTATTACTTTTTATATATTTTGATCTTGAATTATTTTTTACTAAATAAATGGAAGATAAAAAATAGTAAACTTTTATCATATTCATTGTATATATCGTTTCCGGTATACATTAATGTTACCACGAAATATTACAGGTATGTGACACATTTAAGAAAAAATAATGCCAGTCCACCATATCAGATAGTTTGAGAAGCACTGATATATACAATTTGTTTCACAGAAAATGAAGAAAATACTTATTTTGATATGATACAAAAATAGATGTTACCAGTACACATAGTTTTAAGAATTAAAATCAATTTACATTAACAAGAATACAAAATTAATTAACAGGATAATTTGAAGAGTTAACCAATTACATATAATACATTAAGGATCGCCTTGGACACGTCACATAGAAGTAGATTTAGCATTTCATACAATTTTTATATACCTAATTTATCTCCCTTAGATCGGACGTAAATCTCTGGAATGAAGCTCATCGTGAATTTTCCTTTCGTAATGAAAAGTCATGCAATTGAAATAAAAACGAAAATTTTCAACTGTTATTCTGTAAGCAAAATAAGAAACTTATGTTAGTGATTAACAACTTTCAGACGTTGAGAAACAAAAATAGGTAGGCTCGTTTTAGTTTTCCAAATTTTTCCCATGCCTTGTTCAAGAAACCTAATATTTTTAGGATGGAATGGATTCATGTCTTTCCCTAGGTCATTAGTGCAAAATAAATGCAACACGGTAAGTCCAGACTTGAACTTAGTTCACTAATTCCATGTTCTGTTATGCTACCCATATGAATAATAGACAGGAATTTAGGAATCTGGAAAGGAAGAGATTGTGAGTGGTCAGAAATTAATGCAAACATTATTGTCAGAATAGAACTGTTTTCACTGAGTTTAGGTAGGTTTTGGTCATTTTATTTGTTTAACCATTTTAAGGTTCTTTATTTGTTCATTTCTTTTTGCTTATATGTGTATGTATGTATGTGTGTGTGTGAAGTACATAGTTTTGCCTATTGTCTGGTTCACTATCCTCCCTGGCCTTTTGAATAGGAGTAGAAGTTTATCACTTGTTTCCTGTTTAGAATTGTGTTTCTGGTTGCTTCTAAAGTCTTTTCCTTTTCTTTCACTTTCTTTAGCATTCTTGCCTTGCTTGGTGTGAATTGATTTAAAAAAATTATATATATATATATATATATAAATATATATATATATATATATATATATATATATATATATATATATGATTAATACAAATATAAAATTTGTCACTTAACTGGTTGATGTTATATTCAGCACCCTGATTGCAGAGTCTTGTAGACTAACCTTTTTGTAATCATTAAGTCCACTCGTCAAGAGGTATCAGCAATTTTCTGCTGATTTTCTCATTTTTCTTATTTTTATATTAAAAAATAATTTATAGGCCATTTATTGATGTTAGTCTGATTTTTTTTTTTTTTTTTTTTTTTCTTTTTTTCACACACACACACACGGTCGATTTATCAGTCTGGAGTGGGGACAGTCCCAGCGTGTGGCACCTTTGGAAAGTGCCTGAAAACGATACCACAGATTGTTACAAGTCATCGTAACCGAGGGTTTGAATGTGCTGGTGGTGTTCAGATTGTTGATCATTCTAGATAACACGTTCTCTCTCAGAAATTAACTAAGGTCTGCTCAGCATAGTTGCAGTATAAACCACAGGTTGGCTCTGTGGGTGTTGAACAAACACAAATGTGCCTGAGCAAGAGTCTGCAATAAGGATTTGCTAGCCACCATATATATATATATATATATATATATATATATATATATATATATATATATCTGAGATGAGGTATTGTAATTATTTATACTATTTACATTGTTTGGACAGTTGTCTTAATCTTTGTTGCCATATTCACAACGTTTTGGCTGTTGTACACTCCAGCCTTCTTCAGGTGATTGGAATTTCAAATCGAACCCTTTATTTCATCTACCAGGGTAGATTATTCTTGTTCCACATGTCATACCTCATCCTGAGGTTTCAGTTATCACCCCTTAACTCAAGTCTCCAAGTTTTTGTTCACCATCGCAAAAGCCAGGTATTGAACACACAACTCTTAGGGTCAAGTCACTGTATCTAACCACTGCTTTTATCTACTGGGCAATGTGTCCTTGAGTTTCTGGTTCCTTTTAAAGCCTACAACTTTATAATTTTAATGTCTCCACCTAATATCTGATTTGAATCGTCTGAAGAAGGCTGGATTGTATAAAGGCCAACACGTGAATATGGCAGCAAAGATTAGGAAAACGGTCCGAACACTGTAATTAATGAAAATAATATATATTTCTGTTTAATGATTGGGAAAATACACCATGAAAAAGTTTGTAAATTCATTTTTTTTTTTTTTCTCAGAGTAATATAGTTTATTATACAGAAAGAAATTTTGAATCCAAAATTTAGTAAGAGGTGTTTGAAAAAAATAAATTGTTTGACCATAAATTATTTTTCCTTTATCAGAATTCTAATAAAAAAATCTGGGATTTAATCAATTTATTTAAAAGAAATAATTTTCATTAAAAATAAAATTTTAACTTCATTTGTGCAAATAGAAACTTCTGTTTTTATCACTTTTAGATCCATTTGAAAATATATTGGCATTTTCTCTTTTTTTTTTTTTTTTTTTTTTTTTTTTAGACTGAACTTCATCATGCACTTCGGAGAAGCTGTGAAACTATTTTGCAACGACAAGGCATTATCAGATCATTAGAGAACATGGGTCATAAACCTCTTCCAAATCGAATAAAGAAATATGGAGAATATCATCTAAAAGGAAGGTAAAGAAATTATTTGATTAAATTAAAGATAGGTTATCGGCAAAATAGTTTTTTTTAATAATGTTTCATAATGCAAATGATTCTTCAATAACTGTTAGATTCCTTTTCTTTTATTATCTGTGAATTGCCATGACTTATTGGGAAAAATAGTCGAGTTTCCCATTGTCTACTATGTTCTGAATTCAGTATAGTCCTTCTTGTACACTAGCTGCCAGCCAAGGCTAGAGGACTTATTCTACCTATTCTCCATAGCTGGAGGGACAAGGAAGAATGGATTCATGTCTTTCCCAAAGGTATTAGTGTAAAACATTATATTCACGTATTGAGTTCAAATTCCAGACAAGTTTGTTTTTCTTCATTTTTGCACGAATACCCTTGCATTAATAGGGTAGACTAGGCTCTCTAATTTTAGTAAGAAAAAATATTCAGGAATAAAAGTTTTAGTATATTTACAAGATATTGAACAGGAGTAGAGGTTTATCCCTTGTCCTCTGTTTAATATTGAATTTCAGGTTCCTTCTAAAGTCTTTTCATTCTCTTTCACTTCCAGTAGGCCCTTGCGTCTTAGTGGCATTATCACCTTGCTTGGTGTGAATTGATTTAAAAAAAAAAATTCAAGCAAGTTTAGGAGTATATTACAAAAAACGAAAAAAGTGCTATAGTGATAACTGAAAGTCTTACTATATATAAAAAGCACGCTGCCATTATAACTGAAACATAAATCACAATAGTGAAACTATCCTATAAAAAGCAAACTACCACAACAGTTCAACATAAACCAAATCCATTTTCACCAAATACCAGTGTTTCCTTTCAGTTACATCTCTTTACTGTATATAAACAGTTGAAGCATAAAGCAAGAAATCACAATAATAGACCGCCACTCACAATGAATGGACGGTCCCTAAGGAAGACCCCCTGATTTGACCTACTGTTGGTTACATCAGAAAACATTACTGTATATAAAAAAGCAAGCTAGTTGTACATTAGAAAACATAAAAACACTTTACAGAATAAAACATTGAAAGCAAAAACAAAACATTTTATAAAGAGCAAGCTACCTTTACAGTCAAACATAAACTAAATACAGTTTTACTATTACTGATATTTCCTTTTTGTTAGATTTCTTTCTTCTATAGTTTCCAGCTAGTTGATGAGAGTAGTGTGTATAGTGCAATGGATAAATTGTCACCATTTCATATTTTTAATTTTGCGCATGTGTGTTGTTTGTTTTTGATTTTGTCAACTTCACAGTGTAGTAGGGTCAGTTGGGCACTGTCTGTGAGAAAAAGTGCACCATGATACAATATACTCTGCCAGAAATTTGGAAACAGCTGCATTGCTTGGCATTCATGCCGGAAGCTGCAACACAAACATTTCAGTCTTTGAATGTCAATCTGATGAGAGTGCAGAGGATTCGAAAAGAGTTGGATGAGTTTAATGGTGATTACGAAGGTGTTTGGAGTGATCACTAGTAATGGTGACATTATGCCTCCATTCATTTTCCCACAAGGCCTCAAACTCAACACTGAGGCCTACATCATGCCTTGAGGGAGTAGTGCTGCCCTGTGTCAAGAGGGTGGCTACTGGAAGAACCTATGTCTGGTAATAGGACTCTGCACAATGCCTCACAAGCAAGAGAACCCAGTCATGACTGTCAGACAATTTCTGCAACCACATCACCCCTTACATCTGGTCATCTAACTTCCCAGACGTTGATTATTATGTGTGGGGGTGTAGTTGAGCAAGAGACCAACAAAACTCCTTGTAATGCCAAAGATGAATTGAAAGCTATAATTAAGGCAGCATTCACCAACTTAAACAAGGAGACCATCCAGAAGAGTTGCAGGAGATTCTAAAGTTGCCTGGAGGCCATGGTTGAAACCAGTGGTGATTTTGTTGAATAAATTTACTCTTTAGTATTTCAAGATATTTTTGTGTAATTTTGGTAAATATATCTACTAAAATGAGATGTTGGTGTTATTTTCATTTTTGCATAATTTAGATGACAATTTATCCATCGCACCATGTATAGATGTATTTAGGTCTGATGGATCAGCTGGTACTGATGAACATTGCTGGTACTTTGTGACTACAATTACTTTTACGATATCATTAATAATACTAATGTCATTTGAAGAAATGATATGAAATCATCTGATATAAAATTTTAGTCTATGGTACTAAGTGTTGACGATAAAATTGGCTGACAGGAGGTCTCAAATTTGCATATAAAATGCAGGGCAATTTTTTGAGCCATTCGTTTGTAAGAAATTGTATCTTGTATGACATCAAATATGGTAGTGATAATGAAAATGATTCAGACAACTTAACCAGGACATATGGCACAGTGGATAAAGGCGTTAGTTAGATCCAGTGACAGACCCAAAGAAGGTGAGTTCAATTCCTGGTTAAGGCAGTGAAGAACTTTCAGAGGGAAAATTAACAGGAGATAACTGATAACTGACATCCATCAAACATGGCACGTGGAACTAGAACAGTCTACCCCAGTGAGCGAAATAAAGGGTTCAGTTCGAGATTCCTACCACCTGAAGAAGGCCGGAGCGTACAACGGCCGAAACGTTGTGACAAATATGGCGACAAAGATGAGGACAATAGTCCGACTAATGTAAATACTGTAAATAGAATCTGCTTCGAAAATCAGCATTTGAAATCCTGGTTTTCCCATGATCTCAAACACTGACTGCCAGCCCCAGTGGGAAATATACTATTTAACCCATGAAGCAGAGCTTAGTGTTAGTAATTGTTATTCTGTCAATAGTGACCCTAAATTTAGCTTATGAAAGAGAAAAGACTGTGTTTTGCCAATTTTCTAAGTGGAGAGAGTTACTTGCCTGCCTTGGAAATCAGTGTTCGAAATCTTAGATTTTTACTTGGGATTGAAGACCAACCAGCACTAGTGCAGACTATTACAACTACAGTGAAGTTTAAGGGCCTTTAAGCTGAAGGAGGGGATGAGAAATAAGGAAATATTTTTCAAGTACCATATATTTCTGTGTATAAGGTGACTGTTAAATCTTAAAAATTAACCCCCAAAATAGGGGGTCGTCTAATATGATCATTCCAAAAAGCAAACCTTAAATCCTGTTGAAACAATTAACATTATAATGCTGTATTACAGTTATAAATGTAATAAAATTACTTTTACTTCTTGATCTCAAATTAAAATGCAATATTCAAGAGACAATTATGCAACAGTTTGCAAAAGTTCTACTGCACAAGATACACAACTAACAAGTAAAGCAAAAAAATCTTTTCTTGATTTGTAGAGCTATGAGTGCATTGACAACAATCATTCTTTCAAATAACAACATTTTGGATAACATACAATCTATATTTCTACTTAAAATTCATTATCATTGTGGTGTTAAATAACATTTAGTATAGAATGCAAACTTATTTTTCAATAACATACATTATACAATATATTTTTATATGTTTTTTATATTACATTACAGAATGAAAAAAAAACAAAACAATAACGACACCCACATAGATAATTAAAACCCTTCAAAATTACTCTGATCATCACCATCTGATACAAAGTACTCATCGACATCATCAGAGTCTGTCTATATTTCTGAGATGAGGTATTATGTACAGTATTTACATTAGTCAGACTATTGTCCTCATCTTTGTTGCCATATTTGTCACAATGTTTCGGCCGTTGTACGCTCCGGCCTTCTTCAGGTGGTTGGAATTTCAAACTGAACCCTTTATTTCGATCACTGGGGTAGACTGTTCTAGTTCCACGTGCCATGTTTGATGGATGTCAGTTATCTCGTGCTAATTTTCCCTCTGAAAGTTCTCCACTGCCTTAACATGTGCTCAAGGACACATGGCACAGTGGATAAAGGCGTTGGTTAGATCCAGTGACAGACCCAAAGAAGGTGAGTTCAATACCTGGTTAAGGCAGTGGAGAACTTTCAGAGGGAAAATTAGCAGGAGATAACTATATAAAAATATATATGGTATTTGTGTGGAAGATTTTTTATACAAGCATTTCATTTCCGAGGATGGAATGGTAATTTGAAGTTATCTCCCCTTTGAACGTTTTATTGTTTTCTTTTGACGCTATTTATTTTTTCTTAATATTGATTAAATTCTACCAAATTTCTATCTTGAGTTGTTTTGAGATTCTGATATAAAATATTGTTAAAATTATACAAAGAAAAATTTAATTAAAAAATAAAGTCGTGTGTGTTGAAACAAGGCCAAGTAAGAAATTGTTATTGTATTACAAAAGGTGTTATTATGATATCACTAGGTTTAAGAGAGCAAAAAGCAATTATTATTTAACAAGAAAAAGAAAAGAAAATTTTCGATTGTGCAGAGGTAGTCAACAAGTCATTCTACTATGATAGGCTTGCACCTCAGATTATGGAAGCATCAATTAAGAGTCAAGTACTTATACCCTAACTCAAATCTCTTGTTATAGCATCAGTTTTTCAATAACACAGGCTTACAGAATTTTATTTTCAAAACGGTGTATGGGATGTTTTGGTTAATTTTTTAACCATTTGGAAAATTTGCTGAATCCACAAATAATATCTATTTCCCACTGTTAGCTTTAGTTTTCCTGCTGCAAGGATGCACATGTATAGTGGTTAACAGCTCGGAATGAGAAATCTGACAGTTGAGTTTGAATTCCAGTCATGTTCATTATGTTCACTTATGAACAAATACTCTTGGGAAAGATATTAATCCATCTTTTTTCCCCCCAGCTATGAGTTTGTCTGGAAAAATCGATATTCACTTGCAAAAGAATTATTCTTACAATCAAAAATATATTTTGGTTTTAAATAACCGACAAAGTGTGGATAAACTTAAAAAAAAAAAAAAAACCAAAAAACCCAAATCAATGAATTATTGAGAAAATCTCAACTCCAAAAAAAAAATGTCCAGAAATGGTTGCTGGCCAAGGAAAGGAGCAAAAGTACTTATCTTAAGTTGCGAAAAGATATTTCCTTCCGCGACTTAGCTTAATTGTCTGATAACTTGCATTGGGTTACAAAAATAGCAAAGAAAAGGAAGAAAAAAGATTTCCTTTATAACCACTTCAGGGATCAGGTGTTAACAAGTCACGAGACCCTGTATCTATAAAAAAAAAAATTCGTAAAAAGGTAACAGCTTTTAGTCAACAAGAATCAGCAACCCAGGTAAGTACATTACTCCTTCTCCCAACCTGAACTGTCAATTTCTCCACACAATATTTCTTTCTGCTGAACACCATTATCAGAGCTGTTTCGACTTGAGTAAATCAATGTGAATTCCTCATCTTCGGCATGACTTCTCATTTCCGAGCATAGCCATCTGCTCAGGCCCATTTGTGTTTCTTCAACACCCACAGAGCCGACCCATGGTTTATACTGCAACTATTCTGAGCAGACATTAGTTACAGTTTAAATGTGTTTCTAACCAGGGCCACATACAGTTTTGAATTCAGAGCTGGTTTCCAATTATGAAGAATCTAGTCTGCCATGCTATTTAACCCATAGCTAGGGGAAGAAGAGATGGATTCATGTCTCTTATGAATTTATTTATGCACAAGTGAATTTAAGGACCAGAATTCAAACTCAACACACTGATTTCTCATTCTCAGCCCTTACCCATTACACAACTGCACATCCAGAACACCATATCCCACATAAATAATGGGCCTGATTGGGTTAGGCCATTGTAAATGTGAAGAAAAAAATAAATTCTCATTTGAATCTTAAACAGATTCTTAGTGTGAATGAAAATACAACTTTTGAAATTCAAAAGAAGTATAACACAATAAGTAATTAAAATTTGAATATTGCGAGCAATTTTTAGTCAAAGCAAGAAATTTGGCTTATTTGATTTTCATGAATGCTTGATAGATTTCTTCCATTTTTTAAGTTCCAGGAGTGGTCAGCTATCATTCTTTTTGTCCCATCTTCCTTGATATTTTGTTCTTCCTTAAATTGAATGTCCTGGTGGAATAAAAAAAAAATCAAATGTCTAAAATATTTATTCACTACAGAATCAGTTTAAGAAGTTTATAACACTGATAAACTTTAGTTTCTATCTATGTTAAATGATTATTTATATCCAAGGACTTTACAATGTTTCCATTCATAACCTAGAACAATGCATTTAAACTGTCATTATCATCACACATTATCATAATATAAAAACCGGGTTTTTTTTAGCAATTGGGAATTCCATAATATTCATGGTTTCTTGGCAGCAGGCATTCAGAATTAGTTTGAACATTATGGGAAACTTGGTTATAAATATATTTTTATTAATACTCAAGTTCTGTACAGTAAAATTTGAAGTTAAACAGTAAAATGAACTTGATTTATTGGCTTAGCATCCTAAAATTAGCTAAGAAAAAGTATAAGTTTTATTATTTTATTTGATGAAGCTTTGTCAGTCATTATTATTAATTTTTGATTCATATTTGCTTTGATCTTCATTTTTATTACATGAAACATTGTCAACTATTATTATTCATTTTTGACTAGTATTTACTTTCACCTTCATTTTTTAGATGAACCATTGTTAGCCATTATTGTTAATTTTGATTTGTATTTATTTTCATCTGAGTTTTTAGTCACTTTTACCACAGTTTTTACTGCATCTCTCTATTTGCATCACTGAGTAAACAGAATGGACAAAAAAATGAATAACAAGTTGTAAGTGTGATTTGAACTCGCGTCCTTTTTGCTTCTGCTTTAAGTGCTAAGCTACAAGCATTTGATGGCTTTGCAGAAGAACAAATCTGAACTAAAACTCCTCACTGCAATCCATTTATTGTTACTAAAACTGAGATCAGTTTTTATGCTATGGGCTATTGTTAACCATACTTAGTAATTTTTATTAGTATTTACTTTCATTGTAATATTTTTAGTTACTATTTATTGCAACTTTTATTGCATAGCCACCTGATGAGATGGTCTTGGGCAACAGCGTCAATTCTATAATAAAATTGCATTCTTCTCGTGGCTCGTGATTGCTAGTTGTTTTGAGTTCAGAGATAAGACATCAACAAAAATAATTTTAACTTTACTATTTTATTAACATCAACATATCTTCTAACTATCCACTTCACTGGGGGAGCCATTTCAGACATGAAAGAGAACACATTTACATTGCTTGGCAGTACAGAAGCAACTCCCCAAAAACCCTTTCTCTGTCTATCATTCTCATGCTGGCTCGGCCTATGAAAATTGACACCCTTGTTTTTTCTTCCATCTGACATCAAAGGTCAACCTCAGGAAGTCGGAGCAGCGATACACTTCCTCTAAAAAAATAATAGTCTACTAAACTATTATTTAACGCTTTTACTTGGGCTGTCACACTCTAAGTAAACAGTGCATGATCGGAGGATCTCGGTGAGATTTGAACTCTGGGCCTCTTTCTTAAAGGAATCATAGTAAATGCCTGACTTCTTTAATTGCTCATCTAAGCTGTAACAAAAGGAACTTGAGTTTGAATCTTATTGAGAGCTTATTTTTTTTATTTCTCGTCATGTGCTGTTTGCTCATTGCCAGAGAATAACAGCTGGAGTAAAAATTGTGATGAAATGCAAATAAAAAAAAAAAAAAATGATTAACTTATAATAATGGCTAATAATATTTCATTTAATAAAAAAAAATGAAGATGGACTTCTAATAATTGCTGACAGTCAGGGTCGAATTTAAGCCTTAAGAGGCCCCCTGGGGGCTAAAAGAATATTTGGTCTCCTTCATTACATATGAACCACCCCACCCCATATCTATAAAAAAAAAAATTTTAGATGATGCTCTTTTGGTGTATAATATGAATCACTTCAACTAAAATTTTTAATGATCTTAGAACTTAGCCAATTTATTTCATTAGCAACTTCACAACATTTTTTTATCCAAACTTTACATCCTACAGCAGGGTGGCCTATATTACACTGAAATTCAACAATTTAAATTCACTTGCTACAGCCGTGTGATCCTAGATCACTACAGCTGGAAAAAAAATTAGGGGCCTTTCTAATCTTGGGGCTCCTGGGTTGCTGTCCATATGTAAATCTGACATTGCTGACAATGTTTCATTTAATAAAAAAAAAAAAAAAAATGAGGATGAAAGTAAATACTAACAAAAGAAAATAAAAATAATGACTGACAATTTTCAATAACAAATCGGGATCAATCTGAAAGTCTTCAATTCACTCTTTTCTTTTCTTTCTTTTAGATATTTTTTGGTCAATTATGAAAGTTCAGCTTCCATTCAAAGTGATATAAAAGAATACCTCCACCGAGATATTGATGTTCTTGCACCAAACATCATTTTAAGAAAAGAAGAGGAAACCTACTCTCCTGAATTTACACCCTGTATATTTGGAGAACTTCCCAATCCAGAACATGAGAAATACATTTGGCGTTCAAAAATTCTGAGACATTTGAAGATTAGCCGAAAATACAAAATTCAGTCAAGAAAATTAAACCCATCCTGATGACAGTCAAGAGCATTCTTCACCATTTCTCTTACATAGGAAAAAGTTCTCTTTTTACATTTTGAAATAAAGAATTTTGAAACATTGATTTCTGTTGTATTTAAAACCTTGTCTGCCCACAACACTGCAGGCATTGGGCAGCCAGTGTGCAGTGAATTTACTAATGAAAACTTAGTGTATTTAACCACAATTGTGCTATTTTTTTTTTTTTTTTTCCGAACACTTTCTGCCATCTTTGAGGCAGCCAGAGTCAGTGGAAGGGTCACATGCTGCCACTAATCGTGCTATGTGGCTACACTCTACTACTACTACTCAAATTTCATAATGTCGTATTCATGTAAAATACAAATTGTATTGTAAGCTAATTATGTACAATAATGGATCATATGCAATCTAGGTGAACAATTCAACTAGAAAAATTGAAAATAAACACAATGTATCTAAATACAAATTAGAGACGTGTCATAATAGATGATTCCATCTTAAATAAATCAATGGTTTGCAGTAATTTTTAGTCTGTCTATATTTCTGAAATTCATACCCAGATGTCCTCAAGGACACATGGCACAGTGAATAAAGGCGTTGGTTAGATCCAGTCACAGGACCCAAAGAGTGTGAGTTCAATAGCTGGTTAAGGCAGTGGAGAACTTTCAGAGGGAAAATTAACGGGAGATAACTGACATCCATCAAACATGGCACGTGGAACTAGAACAGTCTACCCCAGTGAGCGAAATAAAAGGTTTGGTTCGAAATTCCAACCACCTGAAGAAGGCCGGAGCGTACAATGGCTGAAATGTGATAAATATGGCAACAAAGATGAGGACAATAGTCCAAATAATGTACAGTAATTTTTAATATCAATTTGAGATTTTTCTTTTTAAAAAGTTGAAGAATTTTAACATGTTCAACATTATGGATAAAATATAGTGGGTTTTATATAGTGCCTTTTTAGGCTTAACATAAGCAAAACAAATTCATGGACTTGGATGAAAAAAAAGATCCCAGAATGACATCAAAATCTGCAAAGATTTTTCATCCTTTAATAGTTGTTTGGTTGAATTTGTAATGTATATAAGTATAGGTGGAAAAAAAAAACAAATGTTAAGAGAGTTAAGGGTCACAAAGCACTGTGGAAATTTCCCGTCAAGCTTGGGCAACGGTATGTACCAGCCCTAGTTTTAGCTTCATGATTCTGACCTCCCAGAACCTGGCATCTTCCTGGTTGATGAATTAGTCTATGGGGTTTTTGCAGGTTTCCAGAAAATTGGAGTCTTTCCCATTTAAAGAATTTTTGTTAGTATCAAAATAAATGAATCTGAAAGTGCGAGGTCAGGTGTAGTAGGACACTCTATACCAATTTTTGCCAGGTCTGCAAAAGAAGTGGGGTCTGGCATTGTCTTGATTGAAGCGAATACCTTTCTGATTGGTTAATTTCCAGTACATTTCATCAATTAATGCTTTTAAGCCGTTCAAATAGGAATACAATACTTGTCTGAATTCATTGATTTGTTTTTTTACGGCTTATCAATCATGTTGCAGGTTATTTAAAGCCAGAAAATATTTTTAGACTAAGAATTTTTTGGAGATAATGATTTACTAACATAACCCATAGCTGGAGAAAGAAGAGGTGGATTTGGATATTTCCCACATGTATTTGCATGTAAGTGAATATAGCACACCCAACTGAAATTCAAATTCAACTCTGATTTTCCTATTTGAACTGCATGTTCAAGCTCACAGCAGCTGATATTCCCCAAAAAATCACCCGTCTAGGTACTGACCAGGATTGGTATTGCTTAACTTTAGTGATTGTACAAGAGCCAGTGTTTTAACGTGATTTCACCATGAGCCTTCATCTGGATTTAACATTTTGTGGAAGGAGCTCATAATACAAATTGCTCTTCTAATCCAACCAGACACAAAGCATCAATTTCTGATGTGGATTGGCTTTTAGTGTGGTTCATGGTGGCTTATGTCAATTTTCCCAGGAAATTTCCCATTTCATATTGTTAAAAACAATCCATTTTTCATTGTCTGTTTGGGAAATAAAAGTGTTTCTCACTGTTACAGTGCATTTCTTGCCTTAATATATACGAAAAACATTCATGAATATGAAAGGATTATGATAAAAAAGAACAGACATGATGTTTGTAATTTATTTAATCAGACATACCTAAAAGAGAATTTGTTGCACAAATACACAAATGTATACATATTACACGCACACACACACATATATATATATATATATATTTTAACATACATGTTTAGCAAAATTAATACCCTGTGTTCATCAAATTGTGGGATGATATCACGGTTTCGTGGCTATGGTGGGAACGTTTGCCACCAGCAGCGTTTGCCACCAGGCAAGGTATGAAGATAAGCTAATTAATCGTTCCTATAAGTAAAATCTATATGCAATGAAAGTTTCCTGATGCATTTGCCGTTATTGACACACTCGTAAAAATCATTATCGGCAACCACGCAAATACCTCACATGCACATGTTAGGTCGTGATGTTGCGCGCATTTTATTTGCATATTTATTTATATTTATTTTATTTTATATATATGTATAACAATGGGTAAATATAGGTAGGTACAAATATATATAAATACTCTATAGTGTAAGAAAAAACTCCTCACTATTAAGTAACAGAGCCACTTAATATGTATTAAGAAACATACATAATATCTTACATATTTATATATATATATATATATATATATATATATATATATACACACATGTATACATATAGATTGAGTAACGATTGGAATTTAACAAATTGATAGGATAAAGAACAAGTAGGAAATAGATCTTATTGGTGGCACTGCAAGTGCATTGAACAACAGCAAACTCACAATACCTCCTTCATTCAATCAATTTGAGCTGATAAGGTTGAATGCTTTGCTCATAAATTTTCATCCAATTCAACACTAGACTCATCTGGTGTACCCACACCTGATTTTCCCTCAAGAACTGAAGCTCTACTGAGTGAGATACCCATAACCCCAACAATGGTATTGGGCATCATAGACTCCCATAAAGCTAGTGGTGGGGATGTGATACCAGCCATTGTCCTGAAGAAATTGGCTTCTGTCCTCACCAAACTGCCTCACCAACTCATGCTTTTCAGGTGTCCTGGGTATGACAATAAACTACATCCGTGTCCTGGGTAAGATGATAAACTATGTCCAGCAACAAGGCCTCTGATCAGGAGGTTTTGCGGAGCATGGAACCACCTCTTAATTGCTGATGTTCCCAGATCCACCCTGACCTGGAGTGGTAGCACTTGTTAGGGTCCCAGCTATGGGCAAATAGTTAACCCCGAATCTGGGATCAAAACACTATGAAAGTGTAAAAATAGGTTTTAATATCAGAAATACTTTGTAAAAAATTATTATCAGCAATACATTTTTTGGAAAAAAAAAAAAATACCAACAATACATTTTTGAAAAAAAAAATTACCAGCAATACAGTTTTGAAGCAAAAAATTATTACCAGAAATAGATTTTTGACAAAACAAAAATATTACCAGCAAATAAAATTTTGTTGGCATTAAATAACCCATCGAGGTTGATATGCCGTAAAACAAACCAAACCAATCTAAATCTTGCTTTCAAGCCTGTTGGAATTCCTTATCTGTTGTGCCTGTTTTTTAAAAACTCTGGAGACCCTTCTGACCCATCTGACTACTGTCCTATCCATCTCCTACCACTCTTCAGTAAAGTCTTTGAGCCTTTAATCAACACCGAAGTGGTTAAGCACCTTACTTTACATAATTTGCTCTCTGACAAGCAATATGGTTTCCGCTTTGCCCAGTCTACCGCTGACGTGCTCACGGCCATAACTGAATTTGTATACCAAGCACTTCACAATAATGGAAAAGCTCAAGCCATGGCTCCAGATATCTCTAAAGCGTTTGATAGAGTTTGGCATGCCTACTTCGTAAGGTTCAGGGATACAGTATTACAGGATGATTATTTGACTTATACAATCATTCCTGTCAAACCCTGAAATGAAGTTCGTCTGAAATGGGTTCTCCAGCTCCTTTATTACGAACACTGGTGTTCTCCAAGGCTGTATCTTGGGCCCTGCACTGCTCCTGATTTTCAATTATTCAAGTGTAATGTCAATCGACATCTGACACCCTGAGCTTCTCTGTATCCTTTCCTCAAACACGCCTCTTTACTCTTATTCTCAATCCTCTGTAACCCCTTGCGTGCTAGTGTCACTCCTGCCTTGCTTGGGTGAATTGCTTAAAAAAAAACTTTTCACTTTATTAAAGCTTCGTCAAAGATCAAGATAGAAATGATAAAAAGCAAAGAGTCGCAGATTAATGGTATGTTGTGTTTGGCGATTTCTTATTGGTTAGATACGTGTCACGTGTAATGAAGTAACAGATAATATTTAAATATGTGTGACAAACATTCTTGACGCTAAACTGTGTAAAACTTAGTAAGATGCAGTAGGATGTTTTGACTGGCTGTGTGTCACGCGTAATGAAGTAAAAGATAATATTCAAATAAGTTTAAGAAAATATTCTGGATACTAAAGTGTATAAAAGTTAATGAGATGCTGCAGGACATTTTGAAAAATTTTGTTTGGTTAGATTTTTCATTAAAGTATGTCTCATGCGTATTTTGCATATAATATTGATTTCTATGTATTCGGAAGACATAAGTTAGATTCATAAATAATGGATTTGTAGAAAAATGGTGACGTAATGTAGTTTTTTAAACGTGTGTTAGTATTTGGTAATATTGCTATAATATATTTTCATATCTTTTTCTTTAAATATATATATATATATATATATATATATATATATATATATATATAATTTCATTCTCGGATCCGAACACCTTGCTGAAAAAAATGATCAGTTAATTCAATATTTCAGGTAATCGAATACCTGGAAAAAATGAATGAAGAAAAAGGTTATTTTCTGAAATAATTTTAACATTTATATCATCCAAAAACATTTTCGAACATTCTGGATGCTAAAGTGTGTAAAAGCTATTCAGATGCTGCAGGACGATTTGAAAAATTTTCTTAGATATTTCATTAAAGTATATCTTGTGAGTATTTTGTATGTATTCAGAAGACATAAGTTACATTCATGAGTAATGGATCTGTAGAAAAATGGTGATGTAATGTAGTTTTTTAAACATGTGTTTTAATAGTTGGTAATATTGCTATATTTTCATACCTTCTCTTTAAAGGGTTTTATATATATATTTATACACGTTTCATTAAATAATATAGACAAGTGTTGTCTATTTATTTTATGTAAATTTTTTTCGTATCTTCTGATAAGTTTGATAACATTATCATTAACCGAAAAAAGAAATTCACAATATTTATCCATTATTTTTTAATAAAATCTAAGCTTTCGGCTTACTCAAGCCATTATCAAAGATGTAATTACAAACATATCAAACAATATACGGACACGACAGTGATGATAGTCTGTCATTGTTTTGTTTACATAGTGGATCACTAAGCAACGATGAACACGCGCATATAAGACGCTAGAAGCGAAAATCGCACCGCATCTCATGACGTCACACATGACTACACGAGAGTGAATTGTAGAATGAAATAAGGAAAGCCGTTGGTATAAACCAATGGCTTCTGTTACCAATTATAGAAATTATAGACATTTAAGAATATTTGTAGAGATTCCATAGTTGATTTTGTTTAGGTTGGGTTTTAACTGTTTGATGTATAATGCTTCAAGTATTTTTAGTTTTTGTCTATTGTTTTCATGTCGAAGTATAGTTGTGTTTTCGACAAGTATTTTACGGAATTGTGTGTGCGGGCAGGCATGTTGTTTTAAATGCCTAAAAATGTTAGAGTTTTCATTAAAATGTAGTGTCAAGCGTCGTGAAAGCACACACAATTCCGTAAAATACTACAATTCACTCTCGTGAAATTTTACATAAAATAAATAGACAACACTTGTCTATATTATTTAATGAAACGTGTATAAATGAAAATATGCTGCCTAAATACACACAATATATATATATATATATATATATATATATATATATATATATATATATATAAAGCACAGCGTTTAGATGTTAGGATTAAACAGCACGTGCCTTCATATAAAATAAGATTAACAAAAAATTTTCGTTTGGTGATACCATTCTGAAATACATACGGGTCTTCTATAAAATCACTTGATAAGTAATCTGACCTGTTCAATGGAGTTTAGTGTGAACTGGTTCTCTGTTCTGGCCAAAGCACGCTCGTTATTCCATTTGAAGTTGTTGGAGACGCTGTTCATCAGGTCCAGGCGACCCTCACTTTGTAAACAAAGAGACTGTTTGCTTCGGCTTGCGGTGCCGTGTCTCTAGCATCTTTGGTGTGATAACTTTTATTATTATTATGTTTTTTCCCCTGTCCATTCATTTACGTCATCCGCGACAGACTTTCTTCTCATAATTTGTTTCCCTGTTAAAAATTCTGACGAGAGGGGACGAAACCGGTCGACTTGTGTTCGTGTTTTTGTTTTAAAATTTATCATGGCCTATAGTAAAAAAAATTATTGCCTTTAATGCCATAATAATACGTTTTTGTACCGTGAAAACACACACATATATATAATATTTTCTTTTTGAAAAGTTATGTTCTGTTTTGATAAGGCTGACATTGGTGAAATTAAAGTTATATATACATATTAGCTGGCCACTTGTATTCGAGGATAACCGTCTACTAGGGTGGCTAGCCAATACCTATTGCAGACGCTCGCTTAGGCACATTTGTGTTTGCTCAACTATGCTGAGCAGACCTTAATTACAGTTTCTGGAAGAAAGCGTGTTATCTAGTGTAATCAACAATTTGAACAAGGCCAGCACGCTCAAGCCCTCAGCCATGATGACTTGTGGCTTCGTGCAAGCACAGCTATCGACGGCCCACAAGAGTTCCGTCTAGCCTATTTCACTAACAAGGCTTGGATCAACCCGTGGTGTGGTTTTTCAGACACTTTCCAAAGGTGCCGCACGCTGGGATTGACCTCGATCCAGTCCGATAACATTAGGAAATCGCCTTCCAGACAAATCGACCATGGTGAGATTCGAAACCGAGTCTCAAAGTAACACACACACACACACACACACACACATATATATATTGTATTGGGGCAGCGGATCATTATTCAAACATATTGTTAAATATTACAGACAACGAATGTCTATTATGTTTGATCATGAACCGTTCTCAAGTTCGTATGTTTGCTTTAATTTAAGGAGAAAATAAAGACAAAAATTGTCCAATATTTGGATATTTTTTATTATGCTTTTCCTTGATCTAAGCTTTCGGCTCACATGTGCCATCTTCAGAGGGGTTATATGATTTGATTTGGTTTGATTTGTTTTGTTTTATGGCATATCAACCTCGATGGGTTATTTAATGCCGACAAAATTTTTATTGCTGGTAATATTTTGTTTGGTTTCAAAAATGTATTTCTGGTAATATTTTTCGTCAAAAATGTATTGGTGGTAATACTTTTTTAAAAAATATATTGCTGGTAGTAATATTAGTATTTCTGGTATTAAAACATTTAATATTAGTATTTCTGGTATTAAAACATTTCTTTCATTTTCATAATACAGGGTGAATCTGGTAACACCAGACATTAAGAGGTGCTTCCACGCTCCTCAAAACCTCCTGATCAGAGACCTTGCTGTTGAACGTAGTTTATCGTCTTACTTAGGACGCGGATATAGTTTATCGTCATACCCAGGACACGAGGTTATATGGACACTTAAACAAAGATATTCACCATCAAAAATTATATTCTGTTATGTTGACATAGAAGATTACTATGCGACGATAACGGTCGCAAAATAGCAGACGCAGGTCGTAAATTCATGATGCGGTTCTATGACGTCATACCACGTGAGAGACTGAAATATTAACAACAGAACCATATATCTAGATGCAATGTAATATGTTGTGACTAGTTTAAAATATAATTTTGTTGAGTGTGGGTTGTTTTGTTTTAATGTAGATGACCTATAATATCTGAAGGTTCTTTTTACTGTGTGTATTGTGTTAACAACTAATATCTGTCTAATATTATGTACATAGCTATGTTTTTCTAAGTAATGTTGTTTAATAGAACTAAGATCAGAAAGGTGACAGGTAAGTCTACGGGAGAGCGTGGTTGTAGTAAAATCAATATATGTAGTGGGTTTATTATTAATATCAGAGGCACAATCTCTGAACGGACATGCAATTGATACCCTACATTGTTTTTTTAGAGGATTTAGTTGTGTGGTTGTAGGCTTATTAGAGACTATGAGGTCAGTTGTTTTAAATTTTTTATAATATATGATGAGATTAACTTGTTTATTATTATTAATAGGTTTAACATTTCCACCTATTATGTTTTTTTTAGTGTTGTTTTATCATGTTTGTATTATGCATTTGGTTACAATAGTATAAATTAATAGTGTTATGTTTATTTTGACATATACTATTATTATTAATATTATCAATTTTGTTAGAGGTATTATTAAGTTTATTGAGATATATTTTAATTTGTTTATCAATGACGGAATTAGGAAATCCACTATTAGCAAGTTTTGGTTAATGTTATGTAATTCTTTATAATATATATATATATATATATATCATAATATATTTATTAAAGACATTTTTATGTTTAACGTTCTTTTTATAGATACAAGTATTTAAGTAAATGCTCTGTTTATAATAAACAGTATTAAATAACATTTTGAACGGCCTGGATGTCCGAGAAATTTTCATAGAAAATATTCGTTCTTTGAAAATCTTCGAACCTTTGTTCCCGTCAGTAAATGTTCATTTAAAATGACGTTTATTATAAACAGAGCATTTACTTTTTATATTTGTATCTATAAAAAAAAGAACGTTAAACATAAAAAATTGTTTTTAATAAATAAATTATCGGACTTTGTCCATTTCTTAATATATATCATAATATATATATATATATATCATAATATATATATATCATATATATATATCTCATAATATATATATATATCATAATATATATATATCATATATATATATATATATATATATATATATATATTATGATGATGAGGATGATGATCCGCTACATCTTCACAGTTGATGACCGCATAATGACGTTCACTCCCCACTTCGCACCTCTCTCGTGCATTACCCCGAAGGTGACTTGTCTTGCCGGCTGTGGACTTGTTACACAAGTGACACGAACAATATGCTTGTCACAACCTTGATGGATCCAGGCCTGATTCCTGTGCACCACCATGTGCCTTTTCAGTCCGGAGCTTGTTTTGCATATCTTGTCACACAGCGTGCAGGATATGACGCTCTGTGTCTGGGGAATGTCAAGGGCGATTTTTTCTTTATATGACTTCACATGATTCCCCCAGCCAGCCTTTGAAAGAAGTACGCGCTGACAGAAATCACATGTCCAGCCCTTGATACCTTCGTTGAGTCCATGGTTATCACCGATTCGAAGTCACCGCTTCAGCCATTTGTGTTCCAGACGACATTATTCGAAGAGTTGACACCCGTCTCTTATTTGACCTCTCCGTCCAGTTCTATCTAGGGCCATCTCATCCCAGTTATTGAAGTCAAATACCAGATTTTTTTTAGGTTGTTCTTGATACAGTGCTTGTATCTTTTCTTTAGTTTGTGCTGAGTACGCTTTCCAATACTCAGCACACCATAAAACAATTGTTTTGACAGTCTACTCTCCTTCGTTCGAATTATGCGTCCTGTCCATCGCATTTGGGAAGATGTTACAAGAGTCTCTATGCTTTGAAAGTTGGATTTGACTAGGACATCAGTATCAGGAGTTCTGATTTCCCATTTGACATCCAATATGCGTCTCAGGCATTTCTGCTGGAAACGTTCATGTATTTTTACGTTTGCTGAGTAGTATCCAAGTTTTGGAGGCGTATAGAAGAACTGTCAGAGCGCAAGCTCTATACACACATATCTTGGTAGTGTTGGTAATATCACGAGTTGTCCATACTCTCCTTTCCAGCTTTTTGAAGGCTGCGGAGGCCTTCTGGATGCGTAGATATATTTCAGCTTCCAGTGAGCCATCTTTTTGTAATTGTGCTGCCAAGGTAAACAAACTTTTCAACTAGCCCTAATCGTCACTATTTACATTATTCGGACTATTGTCCTTATCTTTGTCGCCATATTTATTACAATGTTTCGGCCGTTGTACGCTCCGGCCTTCCTCAGGTGGTTGGAATGTCGAACTGAACCCTTTATTTCGCTCCCTGGGATAGACGGTTCTAGTTCCTATTCCGTGTTTAATGGATTTCAGTTATCAGTTATCTCCTGTTAATTCCCCTCTCAAAGTTCTCCACCGCCTTAACCAGTATTGAACTCACACTCTTTGGGTCCTGTCACTGGATCTAACTAATGCCTTTATCCAATGTATCAGATGTCTACCCCAGTGAGCGAAATAAAGGGTTCAGTTCGATATTCCAACCACCTGAAAAAGGCCGGAGCGTACAACGGCCGAAACTTAATAAATATGGCGGCAAAGAGGACGACAATAGTCCGAATAATGTACATAATACCTCATCTCAGAAATATAGACAGATACTCATACTCTTATTCCATGAATGTTGGGCTCGATATATGGCTCTCCGAGGCAGGAGTAAACATTACCGTGTTTTTTGTGAGGCTATTTTTAAACTAAATGCTGTGCATGAGGGTGAGAAAAGGTCCATATTATGTTGCATGTCAGCTTCTGTGTGAGCTAAGAAGTCAGCGTCGTCTGTATAGAGTAGCTTTCTAATCAAAGCTTGGAATGTTTTCAACTTGGCATTTAACCTTCTCTGATCGAAAACCCCTCCAGTGGTTCTGAATCACAAATAGATGCCTTCATCCCAACATTGGAAAGCATGCGCAAGTAGAGCACCAAAAAAAAAAAAAGTGTGGGAACAGGGATATCGCCCTGCTTTATGCCATTGTCAACAGGGATTTCCCCTGAGAGCTGTCCATTGAAAGTAACCCGGGCTCTCATATTCCTGTGCAGCTGCTTGACCATTTCCCCAAACCCTGGTGGACATCCTACCTTTCTGAATACTATCCCGAGAGCATCCCAGCTAACAGTGTCGAAAGCCTTCGTCAAATCTACAAATACAGTGTAACCCGGATGTAAGAGAGTTGTCGGGACCGGAGAAGAAGTCTCTTATATCCGGGTTTGGTCTATTTTATATATATTAACACAGGCTCTAATTTGGGACCAGAGAAAATCTCTCTTATATCCGGGTTTCTCTTATATCCGGGTTACACTGTACCTGATAGAGGGACATGTTCTGTTCAATACATTTCTCTTGAATCTGTCGTGCAGAGAAGATCATGACAATTGTCTCTCTTCCACCCCTCAAACCACTCTGTGATTCTGGGATAGCTACAGGACAGATATCTTCTTCCGGCCCATTAAGTGATATTCTCGCGAGAACCTTCCCAACAGTCTCCAACAAAGTGATACCTCAATAGTTACCACATATCGATTTTTCACTTTTCCCTTTGTCTAGGGAGATCAGGATACCATCAACCCAGTCCTGTGGGACCAGGATCCCATTCCAATAATCGATAAGAAGATTCGTTATCATTTTCGTCACGTTCTGACTTCCAACCTTCAGTAATTCGACCGGAATGCCATCTAGACCAGGCGCTTTACCAGATTTAAATTGTCTGATTGCCTGTTTGATTTCGTGAAGAGTAGGCTGATGTACAGGCTGGTGTACAATGTGGCAGGCTCTCTATAATGCTGCAATCGACAGAAGGAGGATTATCAAATAGATCTGTGATGTGCTCTTCCCATCGTTGAAGTATTTCTTCTGGTCCTTTGATGGTATTAGCATTGTCTTTTGATTTCAAGGGGATAATTAAGGATGTTGGTGAACCAAAGACTTGATGTATCAATGAATAGAACAATTTGCAGTCATTAGTGCTGAAGGCTTGTTGAATATCAGAGGCCATGTTTCTCCACCTATCATTTTTCATCCTGCGTAGTTCATGTTGTAGGATTGGTCCTTGTAAGCTTTCTCAGCTGCTGGTTGCTTTTTAAAATTCTGGTTAAGTAGCTTTTCGTATAGAGTGAGCTTGGCTTCCAAATAGCGGATTGATGTGAATGTTATTGTCATCAAACCAATACTCGTGTTTCCTAATTCTGAAACCAAGTACATCGGCCTCTGCTGAATATACTTGGTCTCTAAAGTTCTCCCAGGTACCGTCGAAGTCAAGACTATCAAGTCTTTCCATCACAGTTGCTCATATATATGCTCGCTTTAATTTGGCCACACCGATTCGTTTTCGTGCTTTCACTCCATCTCTACGAATTCTCTTACGAATATGCAGCTTGAATTTTCCACGAACCAATTTATGGTCAGTTCCACATTCTGCGCTAAGCATTACACGCACTAAACACATATCACTTGAATCTCATTCATTGGCACATTGATGACGAACTGTTTACATATATATATATATATATATATATATATATGCAAATAAATATATTAAGTCTTTTAGCGACGAGATTTCGCCATTAATCTCATTAATATTGCTAATTGATTCAATGTATGATTATTTCTTTATAATATAAAATATATGCTGCCTAATATAATACGTTTATAAAATATATATATATATATATATATATATATATATATATATAAATAGATATACATACAGACATATATATATAATTACATATAATGTAATAAAAATAAATAAATTCAATAACAACATTTAGTCACTTTTGTTTATTCGACATTAAATTATACCACTTAGCATTCTCCAGAGTTTAAAGTAACTTTTCAGTTAGCTTGATGTATAATTATCAGCGTTCTTAAATTTAAAAATACTGAAAAAACTAACAAGATTTTTACTTTTCTTTCCTATTTAGGACTGGGTTTCCGGTTCCTTCTAAAGTCTTCTCAAGCACTTTCATTCCCAGTAGCTCCCCCTTGCGCTTTAGCGGCTTTATCGCCTTACTTGAAATGATTAAAAAAAAACATGTTGCAAAATAAAATCCTTTCATTTGCCTAGATAAAGTCCATTAGGGAATGAAACTTTTCTGCTAAGATAAGTTTTCCTTTTGTCTTTATCCATATTGTCCTTTTACAGACATATATTTAGATATATCTGAAATGTCACGATCGAAGGGGCGCTGAAAGGAATGCTTTCATTCACAACCGGTGGGGTGCTGAAAAGAATGCATTCGGTCCCGACCGGAGGGGTGCTGAAAAGAATGCTTTTGATCACGACCGGAGGGGTGCTGAAAAGAATGCTTTCGATCACGACCGGAGGGGTGCTGAAAAGAATGCTTTCGGTCACGACCGGTGGGGTGCTGAAAAGTTTTTGGACATTCAATCAGATTTTGGAAAGTAGGTTGAGCCGAGAATTTTTGAGTAGCCTTCGATTGGATCAAATATAAGGAGGCCGAAGAATATATCGACCAAAATGCGCTAAAAATAATAATGATAACGATCGAAAAATATATGAAACAAGAAAACTAGTTTATTATAATTGTTTGATCAATATAGGGAGGCTGAAGAATATGTCGGCCAAAACATGGTCAAAACAATAACGATGAAGATCGAAAAATATATGGAATACGAAAACTAGTTTATTACAGAATTTTGGAGAATATAAGGAAGCCGAAGAATGTATCCGCCAAAATGTACTCAAAACAATAATGATGAAGATATAAAATATATGGAATAAAAAAAAACAGTTTATTATAGAATTTTGGAGAATATAAGGAGGCCGAAGAATGTATCGGTCAAAATGCGCTAAAAACAATAATGATGAAAATCAAAATATAGATGGAATAGGAGAACCAGTTTATTATAGAATTTTTGACAATATTGAGAAGCCGTACAATATATCGGTTAAAATATGCTTAAAACAATAATGATGAAGATATTTAATAATATCCTCTGCTTCGTAATAAATCAAAATTACGACAGTTTTTATTTTCTTCACGTTATTCTACATTCACAAATTAATAAGGCTTATTAGATAATTCCTTTTTTATTTGGGAATGTTCCAGTTAAATCCTTATCGGATATTTTCCTTAAGGCGGAACTGAATAAATGTCTTTATTTGAGCGTCTCTGGTCGCTAATTTATGTGTAACAATCTGTTTTCTGTTGATTATTTCACGTCTTTCTTTTCTCCAGCTTGTTACTTGTCTGCTTTGATCATCAAAGCATGCTAGAAAGTTAAAGCCATAT